TTCGGGGACTGGAACGCATGAGTTATGAGGAGAGGCTGAGGGAACTGGGATTGTTTAGTCTGCAGAAGAGAAGAATGAGGGGGGATTTGATAGCTGCTTTCAACTACCTGAAAGGGGGTTCCAAAGAGGATGGATCTAGACTGTTTTCAGTGGTAGCTGATGACAGGACAAGGAGTAATGGTCTCAAGTTGCAGTGGGGGAGGTTTAGGTTGGATATTAGGAAAAACTTTTTCACTAGGAGGGTGGTGAAGCACTGGAATGCGTTACCTAGGGAGGTGGTGGAATCTCCTTCCTTAGAAGTTTTTAAGGTCAGGCTTGGCAAAGCCCTGGCTGGGATGATTTAGTTGGGGATTGATCCTGCTTTGAGCAGGGGGTTGGACTAGATGACCTCCTGAGGTCCCTTTCAACCCTGATATTCTATGATTCTATGATCTTGGGGTCTGGGCTCTAACATAGTGCGGCGTGCTCCCCTCTCCCCTTAGGGTCTCTCTGTACCACACTTGAGAGGGTGCTTCACAGCATGGGAAGACAGATGCTGGCTCTGCTCGAGCAAGCACACTAAAAAATAGCAGTGTGTTCAGGGTGGTTTGGGCTAGCTGCCCGAGGACATATCCAGGGGATTGGGAGGGATTGCTGCCATGGCCACACCACTATTTTCAGGGCTAGCACCTGTCTGTCTACCTGGGCTCGGCAGCACGCTCCCAGCTGCTGTGCACGCATACCTTGAGGGACTAGTTTGGGACCAGCTGTTCACGTCTGCTCCAGCTTTTGAACTGAGGAGCCTGGTTCTTTAGTTCTGGCAGTAGTGGCTCATGTGTTTAGATCCTGAGATCCAAGGTTTGATCCTCATTGCCGGTGACCCATCCAAGAGCATCGCCTTACCTATGTGTGCTAGAGACTTTAGGTTGAGATTTTCAAAGACAACCATTTATTTTAACAGGGGTTGCGTGGCTAAATCCTCTCATTACCTTCTGGAAAAATATCTCATAATTATATATATTATAATTCTAGCGAAAGCTGAGGTTCTGGCATACAAAACTCATCCCCCAGGGGAAAGTACCATCTTGTTCAACCAGCCCAGTCCATCTCTGGTTTTACTAATCTAAATTAGGTGGATGCAGTAAGTAATACTGATAAACAGAGGCGATGAGAAGCACAGTGTGGTAAGGCCAGGGTTAAAACGGTGAAAGAGTGTGATGTGTGCTCCAGTTGTGCGCCTGGGTCCACTAGTTCCTACCCCGAGGAGAACAATTGTGACACCAACATGCCGTTTGCCATCACGTCATTCACTCTGCTTGTGTGTTATACCCCAGTCCCCTAGCTGCTTCTGTCTTGTCTATTTCAATTGTAAACTGTTCAGGGCAGGGATTGGGATTGTCTGGTAGTTTGGGTCTGTACAGTGCCTAGCACAGTGGGGGACCCATTCTTGGTTGGTTCTTAGTTGCTACCCACAATACACAGGATTAGTAATAACAGTACTTTTAAAAATAAATGCTTTTACTCTCTCGGGGTTGGCGGGCTTTGGGGATATGTGTGTCTGGACTGAGGCTGGCATGCAGGGATTTCTGTGATTGCCTTTTCTAGCTCTGCACGTGGTCCGCGCAGTGTTGCGCATGATGTATATCCAGGTGGTTGGGTCGTACTTGCTCCTGTTGATCTGGGTTGTGGGGCCTGTCTCTCTCGCTGCTGCAGCTTTTCTGTTTGTACTTGGTTTGCTTGTCAGAACGCATTCTCTGCTGTCTGTTTCTCTCCTTTGGGTCAAACTAGCTCCTTGGGAATGAAGCTGCTACTTTGTCTCTGCTGCGGAAGGTCTGTCTGCAGGGCAATCCTTCGCTTGGTGCATTGCTGGGAACAAGCTCTGCTTAGTCCATTCAGCATCCGCTGTCTGATGGAGTTTTAGAGAGAGTATGTGCATACGTGCCCAGTTTGGGAGGGGAGCGAGAGCCCGAGACCAACACTTTGAAGAGGGGAGACTGTAGAGTTTTTCAGATCTCAGACCCTGGTAGAGCTTTGTTTCCCTCATTTTTCAGGGGGGATTCCTTGTGTCTCTGCAATAGGGGGCTGATGGCAGGTTGGCTGTGTGGTTCATCCATCTCTAGGAAGGCATAACATGGCCCTGCTTTCTCCCTGGCTCTCCAAGGAAGGGTTGAGGCCTCTGCGATGTTTCTGCCATCAGGAGGGATTCTCCCCTCACCTATCGTCTTTCTAAGGGGCCATTACTCCTTACTGCTCCTTAAGGGTCTGCTCCAGTGCCTGCTGCAGTCAGTGGGAAGACAATCCCAAGAGTTGGTGAGAGTTGGATTGACAAGGAGTTTCAGGGAGAAATGTGGAGAGGTGCCACGCACTCATATCCCAAAACAAATGCTCCAGGAGGCTTAGGCCTTGTCTACAGAAGAAGGTTGCACCAGTTTAACCTAAGGTGTGAATTTACACTGATTCAGGTGAACCGGTTCAAACCCCTGTGTAGATGCACTCTCGTTTGGGCTTGAAAGTGAATTTTTCCAGGTCAGCGTAAATCAACTGGGAACAGGTGAAGCTAAACTGAAATAAGCCACTCTTGAACCAAAACAGGAATGTCCATATCAACTGCACCAGTTTAACTAAATTGGTTTAAAAACTGATTTTAAGTTGAACCAGTGCCACATTCCTATATAGACAAGAATTCAGTCTCAGTTCGTTCACTGGTAAAGCTTGTGTTGCTCAGATTAGGATTATCTCCCCCCCACTGCCCCCATGCAGTGACGCCTGCTGGTAGAGTGTGGAACTGTGACAAGCAGGGTATTTCTGAGCTCCTGAGGCCTTATACAGGAGCTGCCCTTACCCAGGAGGAGCACTCCTCACTGTCTCTTTAGAATGAAAAGCAAAGTGCTGTGTGGCCAGCACATCCGCCCCTCCTCAGAAGTGTTACGAAGAGACTAAGACGCTCCTTCCCACCTTGGCCTTAGATTTCAGTGAGAGGCTTTTCCCAGCCTGCTAAGAGGGACAGGCACTGATCAGCCCAGCCCCGTTTAGGTTAGATGAGGGCTCCATTCCTCACAGGACAGGTACTGGTTGGCTGTAATAGCCTTTGCTGCTGCCTGAACGGTCTTCCCCAGAGCCCCCTGCCCATCAGAATTAGCTGTGACCCCTTGGGTCCAAGAATTAAGGTGAGTGAGTCAGCCTGGGTGGTAAGTAAAAGCCTGTTTTTCCCCCTCCCCTGGTCCTGTGACAGAAATCGATGGCAGATGGAGAGGTGTGCAGGCCAGATGCAGAACTGGGAATGAGCACCCTACTGAATTCAGCTCTGACACTGACTCACTGTCCAGCCTCGGGCATGTCAAATGACCTCTTTGTGCCTTGGTTTCACTGGCTGGAAAGCAGGGATTAGAATACCTGCTGCAGAGCTGAGGACTGGTTCAATGTCTGCGAAACGCCATGAAGATCAAAGACAACCCGGCTTGTATCAGTCAGTGCTAAAAATTAACCTTATGTTGATAAATCTGTACGTGAAGTTGATCATTCAGACCCTGTTCCTGTGTGTCTGAAGCAGGCACAGATTCTGTCGCTGACCCGAATTCACCAGTGAAAGCCTGTGTCCCAGTCAAGGACTTGTTTTCCTTTTCCCAACACTGTCAGTCTGTGCTGCACACTGAGACGTGAGTTACTCAGTATTCTTTCCCGATCCCCGTGTACCACCACAGAGGTCAGTGTGTCCTTCCCCGGCTCCCTTCTGGCACTTGTGCCATGCCTGGTTTCGCTCAGCTGCGTTGTTATCCTTAGCAAATCAAAATTAGTGACTTGTTTCCTGGGCTCATCAAAAGAAGGTCTGGGCTTGTATGGTGCTGAGCTCTCCTGGCTCTCAGACGAGTCAATGGGAACCATTGGTACTGAGCACCTCCCAGGATCAGACCCCCACCCTGCTCTAAATACAGTTCTGAGAAAGCTAATGGAGAGTAAAATCTGCCTACTTTGCTATTATGCCATGTAGTTGTCGTTCCCAGGGTAGTAGAGAGAGAAAATAGGAGGGGTCATATGTTTTATTGCAGTGGTTCTCAACCTTTTCGTGCTCAGGATCCCTTTGTAAACATTTGTGGCCTGTTGCAACCCAATAAACGGTCTGGGAGTGGAGGCCGTGGTGAGGCCACACCTGGAGTATTGTGGCCAGTTTTGGTCCCCCCACTACAGAAGGAATGTGGACAAATTGGAGAGAGTCCAGCGGAGGGCAACAAAAATGATTAGGGGGCTGGGGCACATGACTTAGGAGGAGAGGCTGAGGGAAGTGGGGTTGTTTATTCTGCAGAAGAGAAAAGTGAGGGGGGATTTGATAGCAGCCTTCAGCTATCTGAAGGGGGGTTCCAGAGAGGCTGGAGCTTGGCTGTTCTCAGTGGTGGCAGATGAGAGAACAAGGAGCAATGGTCTCAAGTTGCAGTGGGGGAGGTCTCGGTTGGATATTAGGAAACACTATTTCACTAGGAGGGTGGTGAAGCACTGGAATGGGTTACCTAGGGAGGCGGTGGAATCTCCATCCTTAGAGTCCCGGCTTGACAAAGCCCTGGCTGAGATGATTTAGTTGGTGTTGGTCCTGCTTTGAGCAGGGGGTTGGACTAGATGACCTCCTGAGGTCTCTTCCAACCCAGATATTCTATGATTCAACGCATACAGCAACGCAGCAAAAAGCCAGCGGTGCCTGAGCTAATTAAATTAACAGGCGAAATGGGCGAATTAGGGGAAAAGCTGCAACTGCCCGATAGGTGGGTTGGTTTGTTTGTTTAGATGTCATTAATAAATGCTGCAAAGCCAGCACCGGTGCCAGTCAGTCTCCCTGTCCTGCTAGTAACCACTGTTGGTGGAGGAGAGTGGGAATTGGCTGAATAAGTGTCAGTCACTGGGAGGATAAAGAGGGATGGAAGGTTCTGGGCCTGCTGCTGCTCTGGCTGGGGCTGTCATGACCCCATCGAGTGGCTCCATGATGCCAATTCCCTGGGCTGTCCTTTCAGTGGTGGTTGTATCTTGCCTTTCAGACGCCTTCTGATAGCCTGGAACCTTGAGGGGACTTACCAGCTCTAGCCGGCTTATCCTAGGAGCGTCTTTGACACACTGAGCTGCAGATGGCCTCGAAATCTCACTGATGGGCGAAAGGGAAATCGAGTCACAGTAAAGCAGCCTCCCGCCCTGGTACCTGCCCCCTGCACACCCGCTCTACAAGCCATGGAGGCCACTGACGTTCCGGTGGGGAACCTCATTGACTTTGATTCCGAGCCCCCTGCCTCCATCCCCGCTGAGTCCCCTCCCTTGCCCCCTCAACCCTCCAGTGGCAATGGGTTACTGGAGGACCTGGGGGACCCGGCGGCTGTAGGAGAGGAGAGTGACACCACGGAGTCGGCCGACAGTGAGAACGACATGGGGGATTCGCCCAGCCATCACAGCTGGAACAACTACCGCCGCTCCTCGTCCATTGAGTCCTTCTCGTCCAACCAGAGCACGGAGTCAGCCAAGGACGAGGTGATGGTGGAGCGCCGGGAGTTCATGAGGCAGTACGTGGAGAAGATCTTCAGTGGAGGGTGAGTGAGCCAGGCCTGGTGTGGGTTGTCCTCTGCAGAGGTGCATGCTGGGATGGGGCAGGATGGAAGGAGCCAGATCCGGTGGGGATTGCCCTGTGCAGAGGTGCATGCTGGAAAGGTGTGGGGAATAATGAAGCTGCCCCCTCCTCCAGAGGAACTTTCACTGACATGACTTTTCTCTGTTCACCCTTTTTCAAAGCTTAAATTCTCCCCCCTTCTGCATTTGGCAAATGTAGATTTTTCCCCTCCACACAGTGTTCGAGAAACTAGAGACTGGGATTCAGGAGGCCAAGATCAACTTACTCCTGCTTCTGCCACTGACTCCCCCTGTGACCTGGGGCAAGTCCCTTTCCTTCTCTGTACCTCTGTTTCATCGTTCTGTAAAATGGGATAGTTCCTTATCTCACGAGTGGGGATGAGAGGTTGAGGCTAAATTCACTCATGCTTGTAAAGCGCTGGAAGACCCTCCGATGGAAAGGGCGGTAGCCATACAGAGGGAGATCAGGTTCTGAAAGTTCCCGTCCTCCTTCCAACAGGGCTGAAATTAACCAGACTTATTGTTTCCCCTCCTTGCCCTCACGTGCTGGCCTTTTTCTGTGCTGCATGGCCTAGGGGTGCATGCCCTCACGCCTTTGACATCGTGTCATGCCGTACGCTGGAGCCGCTGAGGCATCGAGTGTGTCCCCCGCGTGCAGCTCTTCCTCAGACGGTGATGCCTGGAATGGCACGTCCCCCTCTGATTGCCTGCCCGCGGTGCTGACTTACTGCGGGCACGCCTGCCAGATTCAATCACTCTACTTAGCCTGGTGTAGGATCCGGGAGTGAAGGGGGTTGGCAGAGAGGAATGGGGGGAGCTTTCTGCATCTAGTTATGATGGGTCTGTGTCTGAAGCTGGAGGGGCTGTGTACCGCACTCCATTCTCGCCCTGCTGCAGATCTCCGCGCTGCCCAGGCTCTGATATAGGCTTTCTCGCTAATCTAAATGTCAGGGGATACAACGCACGTGGGGGTCTGTTCGCTGTTTGTCAGCGACAGATGCCTCTGGCCCTTTGATCCCGACAGCAAGGCGTACTTGTTTCAGTCTGTGTAATATCCCGGTTCGGCGCATCCAGTGTGATTGAGCAGATCGTCTGGTGGGAAGCAATAGGCAGAGCTAATTGTTTTGCTCGGGTGATTCAGTCGTTGCTGTGGAATTTCTGCTCTGGAAATCAGCACTCGGTTCCTTCCTTCATCTTGAGAGCAAAAGAGCAGTTCGAAACAGGGAAAGGGAACAGGGCAGCCTGTCAGCACAGCCATAAAGCAGCCCAGCTGGGAGGTTACCGCACCTGGGGATTGCGCTGGATGCAGGGTGCGTGGTAACAAGAGACTGCCAAAGCAGCTTTGCTGAACCGCTGAGCTGGATGCAGGCTGGAAGGGAGAGCGAGGAGTTGCTGTAGGGCAGCTGGAAGGATTCAGAGCACAGCTAGGGGGCTGTCTGGGACAAAATGCTCCTTGGACAGGGGATTGAAGCTGCCGGAGGGGTCGGGGTGGCAGATGGAGCCTCTTCCATAGTGTCAATTGTACAGGAGAAACTGGCCCAGTACCTGCATCCCTCTGGGCTGGGGAGGTAGTGTTCAGTGCGGATAAATCCTGAAAGGTGTATGGGACCAGGGCATTTGGGGTCCAGACTGTAGGGGGTCACAGAGGCCTGTCCTTTCTTTCTGATGCTCCCCGAAGGTGATAGGTAATGAAGTGGCTGAAGGGAGCATTTTATTATTTGTTTACATTACTGTAGCATCTAGCAGCCCCAATCCTAGACCAGGCCCCATTGTGCTAGGTGCTGTACAAACACAGGACAAAAAGGCAGTGTCTACACTAGAGACCTTACAGCGGCACAGCTGTACTGATGGGGCTGTGCCACTGTAAGGCTTCCTGTGTAGCCGCTCTATGCCGACAGGGGAGAGCTCTCCCGTCTGCGTAGTTAAACCACCTCCCTACATAGCCCTGTCCACACCAGCACTTCTGTCGGTCAGGGGGGGTGTTTTTTCACACTCCTGAACGATATACGTTTTACTGACAAAAGGGCTAGTGTAGCCATAGCTTAAGACAAGAGACAGCAGATGGATGCAAGAGGCAGACTGGGGGCAGATGCAAGGTGCCAGGAGGACAATACTGGTCAGACGCAGTGATTGGGGCACTGCAACTGCCGAAACATTGTCAAGTTTTTTTGGAAGAGCCAAATGTCCTGGAGAGATCAGAGTTAGTGGGGATTTTTTCTTCAGGCCCGCTGGTGCAGGAGACGCCATCCAGCCTCTCATCATAGAAATGTGGGGCTGAAAGGGATATTGAGCGGTCTAGTGCAACCCCTGCCCTGAGGCAGGACCTAGACCCTCCCTGGCAGGGGTTTGTCCAACCTGTTCTTAAAAACCTCCAATGACAGGGATTCCTCAACGTCCCTTGGAGGCCCATTCCAGAGCTTAACTATGCAGACAGGAAAAACGTTCTGCCTGATATCCAATTTTAGGCCCTAGCAAAGTTACTTAAGCTCCCAGGCTCGTCTTTTGAAGATGTTGTGCAGGTTTCCTTTGGGGATGAGGACAGTGAGGTCAGATACGGAGTGCATACCCGCCCACAAAACACCTTTCGAGATCCCTAGGTCCTGCGCATGCCTGTCACATGCACTGGACTTCATCCAGTGGACTAAATGCCCCAATAACATTTATGTGGGTTAAGTTAAATAATCACTACACACTTGAACGACCTCTCACAACAACAAATAAGACAAAAACACTCTATCACCTGTGGGTGAGCACTTTCCAGGAGAGCACTTTCCAGAAAACGGTCACTCCATGTCTGACCTCTCAGTCCTTGTCCTCAAACGAAACCTGCTTTGCTAGACACTAAAAATCATGGTCCTAAAAAGACACTGGGTTTATGGCTTATTGCAACAATCGATAACCCACTAATCCCCCCTCCTTTTTTTTAGTCCCGCGACTGCAGAACCACTGCACCTTGAATGGTCTTTGACAATGTGTGAACTACTTATGCTAACCAATCTGTTCCACCTTGTATTAACTGGGACGCTAGGACTACCTTTCCTAGACCTGAAGAAGAGCTCTGTGGAGCTCGGAAGCTTGTGTCTTCCACCAACAGAAGTTAGTCTCTCTCCTTGCAGAGACGTCGCAGATCCAAGCTGAGAACTGTCTCTCTGTCTGTCTCAAATGGAAACTGACCAGAATTTTTAGTATTGATGTCATGAATCTTTCTTCATTTCCCCAATACCCAGGGGCTCCTGGGAGCGCATATGCCTGGGGAATATAAACTCCAATTTGGACCGGATTTAACATGATTGTTTTGCTGGTGTTTAGGGGCTAGGCCCATTGCAGCAAGCAGTGGCAGTAACTGTGCCCTAGAAGCTGTTTAGCGGCGAGGGACGTTGACCCCTTTGCCTGTTTAACCAAAGCTTGAGGCTGCATCTGGCACGCCCAGTTCACTTCTGTAGTGTCGACAAAATTTAAGAGTGATGGGAGCTCTGGAAGGTTTGAGTCCTTGTGACAGGGTGCTGGGCAAAGGGTTGCAGATTCAGCCCTCTGTCATGCCTGCTCCTTGTTAGGTGAACAAATTAGAGTGGTCTTGAGAGAACCTGCCCTAACTGGGGAGGCGGAGACAGCTGCTACCTTAGCTAATTAGCCTGGGGCTGCATAAAAGTCTGAGGGGCAGGAAGCCAGAGGAGAGCAGCAGGAAAGAGAAAAGGCAGAGAATGGAAGCAGGGAGGTAGCTCTCCCCTCCTGCGTGCCTGCAGACGGTGAAGGGTTACTTGTACGTGGTGAAACAGTGGTGGGAACGAGCCTGAGAATAAAGTGCATCAATGGTTACTAAACCCAGGGTCTCAGAGTGACTTTGTGAACCTAGCAGGGGCAGAATCCATCAGAGGAGTGAAGTTCTGGAACAGCCTTCCAAGGGAAGCAGTGGGGGAAAAGACCTATCTGGCTTCAAGATTAAACTCAATAAGTTTATGGAGGAGATGGTATGATGGGGTAACATGATTTTGGCAATTAATTGATCTTTAACTATTCATGGTAAATAGGCCCAATGGCCTGTGATGGGATGTTAGATGGTGTGAGATCTGAGTTACTACAGAGAATTCTTTCCTGGGTATCTGGCTGGTGAATCTTGCCCACATGCTCAGGGCTCAGCTGATCGCCATATTTGGGGTTGGGAAGGAATTTTCCTCCAGGGCAGATTGGAAGAGGTTCTGGGGGTTTTTTGCCTTTCTCTGCAGCATGGGACACCAGTTACTTGCTGGAGGATTCTCTGCACCTTGAAGTCTTTAAACCATGATTTGAGGACTTCAGTAGCTCAGACATAGGTGAGAGGTTTATTGCAGGAGTGGGTGGGTGAGATTCGGTGGCCTGCATTGTGCAGGAGGTCCGACTAGATGATCATAATGGTCCCTTTTGACCTTAATGTCTATGAGTCTGAGTCTACAGTCCAGCTAAAACTCTCTAGGTAGCACTTGGCAATGGAGGTTGGGCACATTGCCCTTCCTGAGGGTAGAAACTCTAAATGTGCAGTCAGTCTATTTCCAGCTAGCGTTCGGGTCAGTTACCACCTTGCACTCTCACTCACGTCCGCGCTACCCTGAGGTTCCAGCAAACCAGTAGACTCCTGCAGCACTGGTCAATGCACTAGTCTCCCCAGGCACTGTGTGTGTGAAGAGTGCAAACCGGGAGGCCGAAAGAGCAGGCGTTCCTCATCCCTGCGATGCAGGGAGAAGCTCCCTTTCTGTTTCCGGTGAGGGTTTTGCCCTAGCTGAGTTGCTGAGTGAATAGCTCTTGAGAGCAGAGCTCTTGTTTCACTTTCAAAAGGTTCCTGGCCAGTCTGAGCACTCGACACAGGAGAAAACCCACTTGGCTGCCTCTGTGCTGGCTATCCTTTTCACTAAGAAACACGCTTTCTTGGCACTGGAGAAGCCCCTGAGATCTGTAATGTTTCTATCTCATTTACAAGTGCTATTGCCTGGGGACTGCAATGCTGCATCATCCAAACCCAGAGCAGAAACCTCGGCTCCTCATAGTCCCAATGACTTTGTTTGCTTTGGGGTTTTTTTAAAACTAAATTAAAACTGTTCGCCAAAGAGGCCCCAATTAAAATGCATCTCACTCCCACTCAGCAGTGCTGTTTTGCCCACTCCCCTCTTCCGTGCAGCCATCTCGGTTCCAAACACCGAGAGACGCTGGTGTTGGTTATCCCCTGCCTGATATTCATGAACAGCTTACTCCCTATGCTTCAGCCACTGTATTGCGCGGGGGTGTCTCGCCTCTTACTTCCACCACAGAGCACTTTATGCACTGCTTATGGTGTGTAAAGAAATTCTGGTACCTCTCTCAGCCCTTCCCTGGCTAAGGAAGGTGACGTGCCCATCTGAAATGATTTAGGAGTTGTCCAAGAGCTCTTGGCCAGACAGCATGTCTTGCTACTCCTGTAAAATGCCACGTTCTGCCTCTGATGCTATATTAATAGTCGTGGTGTCTTTCAGCAGGTAGACCAATAAGTGTAATACTCACACGATACCTCCTTTCCCTGCATTGGTGAGAAATATTCATCCCCCGCTCGTGTCTTGTCATTAATCCGTATTGCCAGTGTAACCTCCTTGGACTGTATCTTTACCATGTATTTGTACATTGTTTAGCAAAAGTCAATAATTGGGACCTCTAGGGGTTACTGCAAGATAAATGTGTGACTCCGGGTATGTCTACACTGCAATGTAAGCCCAGGGTTAGAGGGACTTGAGTCAGCTGGCCTGTGTTAGGGAACCCTGGGCTTGAACATTGACATTGTATTTTAACCCTACATTTTTTCTAATCCGTGCTTGAACCTAGGGCTCTGGTGTCCACGCTGACGTGCGCAGACCTGAGTTAAAGTAACCATGTCTGAGTCCCTAGCCACCGAAATATGGCCGCCCTAGCCCTCGGACGTGGTGCACTGTGGGAAGACTTTACTGCCCGCCCTGCATGTTACCAGGAAGCAGCAGAAGGCTCGATGGGTTCGCTCTGCATTGCAAACCCAGGCGGCTCTCTGGCAGCATGCTTGCAGATTGGTGACCAGAAGAGAACGGGTCGATGCCAACCTGAGCTGCTGCCATGTGCAAAGCACGGGGGGTGGCTTCCGTTTTCAATAGAGTGCATTGCAGATTGTTGGGATAGAGAGGACTAAGGAATCTGTCCAATGGAATTGTGGGATACTTCCGGCTGACTCCCAGGACCGGAGTCAAGCAGGGCTAAGTCTACGCTGCAAAGCAATAGGGCTCGGACCCTGGGTCCCGGCTTAACTCGAGCTCGGACCCTCCAGCCCCGCAGGGTCCTGGGACCCTGCGTCTGAGCCCTGAGTTAGCGCAATTGTGGCATAGTCTCAAGGGGGATTAGATTTAAGCTTGGGTTTATGTTGCAGTGTAGACATACCCTTGGTGATTTGTGATACACTGAACAAAAAAATTGCTCTCCCCCCTCCCCCAAGGCGTATTGCATCTATTAGTGAAGACCAGGAGCAGAATGGAGAGGCCAGGAAGCAGCCTGAGCAGCAGGTATGTGCATGACAATACAGATGTGTCCTGTACATGTAGCCCCAGTGATACAGCTGTGTCATTGATTGATCGTGTCCTTGATAGAACTTGTGGATCCTTTCCCGCAAGGGTCTGCTCCTGGCTCTCCGAATACCTCTGCTTTTTTCACAGGCTACAGGGATTTTCTGAGCAGCTCAGCATGGGAAGGGAATTTAAAGTGTGTTTGATTTTTTTTTTGTCTGTTCCAGGGAGGACCTGGACCAAGAAGAGAAGGCCAAGTTTGGGGAGCTGTGCAGCGGAGAGAACGGAAAAGGCAGGGAGTGGTTTGCAAGATATGTCAGTGCTCAGGTGAGCAGGGGAGAACAGCTGCCGGATGCTAACTCCTCTGTGTCAAAGCAGTTGAGGGTGCCTGGCTCTGGTGATGGGGACAGTTTGTGCAGGAGGGTGGGTCTCCTGGACATCTGTTAGAACAGCATAGTGGTGTGTTTGAGAATGTGCCTAATCTCAGTGGGGAGAGCTGGGGGCAAAGAGATGTATGTTTTGAATTGCATTAAAAATGTGACTGTATCAATCACTGGGCAGTGGAATGTTAGAGAGAAGCCGTCAGTTTCATTTAAAAAAAAAAATCAAAATAACTCATCAAAACCCCACAGCTCCTAAGTGAAGTTCCACGCCGTCAAACCAGTGTCCAGTGGCCCAGCCCCACTGTGGCGAATCCTCTGGGAGCGCTCACGTCAGTTCTTCGGAGCTTGCGCTTTCAGTAGCAACGGAGAGGAAGGAGCGCTAAGACTGATGTGTGTCGGCTTCGTTTGTCTTTGCAGCGCTGTAACTCCAAGTGCGTCTCGGAGCAGACTTTCTATCGGCTGGTGCAGTCCTTCGCGGTGGTGCTGTTCGAGTAAGTAATGGCAGATATCAAAGCAGGGTTGATTTTCCTTTTTCACAACTGAGCCCTCTTGTAATCTGCTCACCGAGCCATCAGAGGGATGCTTTGCTTCCATGCCAGCTAGTTCCAGGAGACCAGCCTTAGCTAAGTACAAAGTCAGCAACCGGTGCTAACTGAATCGCTGTCTGTCCCCAGTTGAACTGCAGAGCAGCGTCTCTGGAAGCACCTTTTGAGCCAGCTGTATTGCACCAAAATTGCTTTGAGGGCCACGTGTCAGTTGGCAGCATCTCCAGTGTGAATGCACAGTGCTGCTTGAAAGCAGAGTGTCTGATTTAGTGTAAAGCAGTGGGGGGAGCTGGTCCTTGGTCGGTAGGAGGATTTAGAGAAGGTAATGCTGGGGTGGGTGGGGCTCTGAGCAGATGGGATGCAGTCAGTCTGACATTTCCCAAATGGGATCTACAGTAAGGGGATGGTGAGTATGGTTAAGCGGACGCTATGGCAGAGGTGGCCTGGTACCAAAACATCTAGTATCTCTGGGTATCTGCTAGTTCTGCTATGCTGCTATAGATGTGGCTGCTAATTCCCTGCGTCTCTCTTCCCCCACCCATTTTAGGTGTCACCAGATGGATGACTTTGGTCCTGCCAAAAATCTAATGACCATGTGTTTCACTTACTATCACATCGGTAAGCGGCTAGTGCACATGGGTGCCTTTCTCATTTTGGCTGAAGGAGCGGGGAACTTGAAATGACTTGCAGAATAAGTGTGAGGGTGGGTTGTTAGAACAGATGTGTATTCACTCGGTGGGGCACAGCTGGCTCTAGGATGACGTCCCTCATCCCAAGGGGAAACATCTGCTTGATTTGGGATTGGGAGGCGGTCACTGAGAATGGTATCTGCTGAATTTCCGAACTAAAGTTTAAGAAACTAAAGGTCAAAGTTTTCAAAATTAACTCGTGATTTGTGGGTAGCAAATTTGAGACACTTCAGCGGCTTGATTTTTCAGAGTGGGGGGGGGCGCCTCAGGACCTCCTTAAAATCAGGCCTCCTTCCTGGGACTCTGGTTGGATGCCCAGAAACTGAGGCACCCCCAATCACTAGTCACTTCTGAAAATCTTGGTCTAAATCCAAAGCACTGTTAAACAGGGAACTCTTCAGCCTTCGGAGCTATTTTCAACAGAAAATTGTGTCCATTTAAAAAACAGGAGCTTCCTCGCTTCTCTCTCTCCTTGTCCGTGTTCCTCTGGCTGCGTGTGCTGCTCCTGCCCCAAGTGCCCAGCGCGGAGGTGGAATTGGCATCGCAGTCACTGGCATGAGCAGAGCGGTGTTTGGGAGCCTGGCGTTGTTATGGCATTGAGGGGTCTTCCCTCTCTTCCTGTGCATGACTGTCATTAATGCTACTGTGAGTTATGTGTATGCAGAGAGAGGGGAGCATGTTTCTCAGTGTATTGTGTGTGCTCCAGATGTCCCAGTCTGGCAGCTCACGGCTGCTTTTAAACCCCTTGGTGCTCACTGTCTTACCACAAATGCCCAAGGGGGAAGAAACCCCAGTGAGTCCTTGTCCGTTCAACAGAAGAGATGTCATCTGGTGTTACAGCAGTGCTTGGCTGTTGGGACGCTGGGAGCCATGAGAGATAAATATTGAAACCTGGGTCTGCGGCACAAGCTTTCTCTACCCGCAGTAGAAGGGGAATCCGGCTGTTGTAAACATCTCTCCTTTATTATTAGAGGGTCCCCGTTCCTGTGTGTTTGGCCAGGAAACACACAGATTCTAAGGCCAGTGTCATCAGCTCAGCGCAGCGTGGTGGGGTCATGGCAGTGCTGCACTATTGAGTTTGCTCCGTTTCAAAGTTTGCGAGCGCAGGTTAAAACGGACTCGTGAGGCTCAACGATTCCCCCTGTTAGGAATCCAGGCTCCTCTGATTCTGCTGAGCTTGGCGCTTTTCAAATAAGAAATCAATGTCCAGTGACAGCTTTTTTTTTTTCCCCCATGACTGGGGCCAGCTTCTTTTAATTGCTGAGTTTCTCTGTATCGCTGTTCCTGTCCCTCTGCCAGCTAGAGAATACTATTAAACTGTCTTAGAGAGTGGAGATGGGCTCATGCGGCCTTGTAGCACAGCGAGATGGTGATTAGTTTGTCCTAAAGGAAATAGATGGGGAACCTATTGGGAGACCCTGAGCCATGTGGGGGCTGGAGAGTGAGGGGCTTATCTCTGTGTGGAGAATGTGGAGGAGAGGGGAAATGGCATTCATAAACTATCCGGTGGGTTGCTGGAAAGAATGTTCCTCTAGATCAGTGGTTCTCAACGAGGGGTACATGTACCCCTGGGGGCATGCAGACGTCTTCCAGGGGGCACATCAACTCATCTAGATATTTGCCTAGCTTTACAACAGGCTACCTAAAAAGCACTAGTGAAGTCAGCACAAACTAAAATTTCATACAGACAAAGACTTGTTTATACTGCTCTATATACTATATCAGCAGTTCTCCAACTGTGGGCGAGTTCGTTTTAATGGGGTCGCCAGGGCCGGTGTTAGACTCGCTGGGGCCCAGGGCAGAAAGCCAAAGCCCAAGCCACACCACTCAGGGCTGAAGCCCAAGATTTTACATGTGATGGAACTTGGGGGTACGCAAGACAAATCAGACTCCTGAAAGGGGCACAGTCATCTGGAACCACTGCGCTAAATCTCAGACCAGTGACGTCCCAGCACCCCCAGAGCCTCCGCTGCAAATCGAGCGGCTGTTCCCCCTCTGACTGTTCTTGCGGCAGCCAAGAGAATCTCTCTGCTCTCTAGCTATGAGGATGCCAAACCCCTCGGCCGTCTGTCTTTCACCACCTGTTGGTTCAGGAGATGCTGGCCATCATGCACACGCTGTTGGCTTTAAAGCGAAGGATGCATCCCGGCGAGGCGGAGATGCTGACATGGGGGATTTGCCTTGTTGGTTTAGTCTCCATGTGGCTAAAAACTGGGCATCTTTGTCTCCTTTCTGGGAGTAAGGACTTGAGGAGCTTGTAGCTAACACTGTGCACCCACCTTTGCAGTAGGGGGCAGCCTAGATTTGGTTCTCCTGGGATCCCTTAAAAGAGCCATTTCTAGAAACCTCCCGTTTCTCCTGTAGGTAAAGCCCAGGTGCTGCCCACAGAGGCGAAGGAGAAGCCCATGGGGAGTATCGACTCGTACCTGAAGTCCGCAAACAGCTGGCTGGCTGAGAAAAAAGACATTGCAGAGCGACTCTTGAAGAACACGTCAGCGAAGACTGAGAATGTGAGGGGCTTCTTCGGGGGGCTGGAAACCAAGCTCAAGGGACCCATGGGCAAAAAAAGCGAGTGAGTTTTGCTGCATCAGTGCTCAAACGCCCTGCGTAGGGGGCGGGTGCCGTGGGCTGGACAAACAGGCCGTGCCAACCGCATGGCCGTCAGCCAGACGCATGCGCGTGCTATCTGGGATAGGACAGGCGACCTCCTGCCCGGAAAGCAGGTGCCTCTACTCAGCTGGCTAAAGGAGGACCTCAGTTACCTGTCAGGGCTTTATCTTCCCTCTACCATGTTCACCCAGCTCTGCAGTCACTAGAGCCTGAGACAGACACATGGATAGGTATGCTTCCATCCAGCACAAGGACCCTAGGTCTGTGAGAGCTCTTAATTCAGGCTCCCCAGTTGTATCTCTTAACATTACGTGGGCTTCTCTGGAGTGAGACCTGGATGTCTGTCCTTATCTGCGTGCTGAGACAGGTGGGCTCTGGAGATGGATTTCTTTGGGCGTAGCGCAGTGGTTTGCAAACTGCTCTGTGGACCATCAACAGCCCAGAGAAGAACGTGCCAGTGTGCGGAAGAGATTTGGCAGGCCACGTGCTGTGCCTCATTTCCAGCCCGTAAAGTTCCTTAAACTACAAATGCACTAAACGCCAGCGAGGTGATGTTTGACCACCAATGGGAGCGGAGGAAGGAGGCCCATGTGATCACGAATAGGCATGCAGGCGTCCTCACGACACCCTCTCCATTTAGATGTGACTCCCTCAGTGTGGGGAGGGATAGCTCAGTGGTTTGAGCATTGGCCTGCTAAACACAGGGTTGTGAGTTCAATCCTTGAGGGGGCCATTTAGGGATGTGGGCCAAAAATTGGGGATTGGTGCTGCTTTGAGCAGGGGGTTGGACTAGATGACCTCTTGAGGTCCCTTCCAACCCTGATATTCTGTGATTCTATGAAAGTGTGAGAACGCCCAACACGGAGAGAAGGGTAACAACCTTCCAGGGGCTTTCTGACTGATTGCCCCAACTCTGCAAGGGTGGTGATGCCAGAGTGTTCTCCAATGGTTAGTCATGGGACCGGAAGTCAGGAGAGCTGGATTGCATTCCTGGCTCTGCCACGGACTCCCTGGGTGACCTTGGGCAAATCAGCCAGCCTCCCTGTGTCTTGGTTTTCCAATCTGCAGAATGGGGATAATATGCTTGCCTACTTCAGAGAGGCAAGTGGGGCTGCAAAGCACTGGGAGACATTCTGGGGAAATAGCCTGCTTGGGCATGAAGTTACTGGGAGAAACTCTCCCAAGGGCTCCAGCGTACATTGGCCATGGCTAGCACCTCTGAGTCAGCCTCTTGTCTCACCACTGCGTCTCGCCCCAGTGGCTGTGATGTGGGAGGTGGATGCCAGCAGGCTGAATGGGTTAGTTATGTGGGCTGATAGGAGGGGGAGCTGGCTGCAGTAGGGCATCGGTTTCTGAGAGGGCGGAGCTGACTGGCACGGTTTCTTTGCTGTAGGGAGGGGGAAGACAAACCGAAGGAGAAGCTGCGGAAGACAGGTAAGCAGCGCGGCCGCAAACCAATGGCTTTAGCAAAGGGATCCCCAGGATCTTAGGGTGGGGCGCAGACACGGTGTGAAATGCCCTGGCACAGCCAGCGTCATGTAAAGTGACTGGGAGAGTGAAATTGCTATGGGGAATGACTGACAGCTTCTCAGTGCGGTTTGCAGAGGCACTTCAGGAAGCTGCAGAGAAACCAGAGGAAGTTTTTCCAATCCATTGTTCAGCGCAGTAGCATCTCCCGTTCCGCAGTAGCATCTCCCGTTCCGCAGTAGCATCCTTTGGATGCTGAATGTAACCTGCACACACGCAGCGTGGTGCTTTGTGGTGGTGAATGTAACCTGCACACGCACACAGTGTGGTGCGTCCCCATATAGAGGTTTGAGTTTGTTACTGCCCCTGAGCTAATGGACCTGCTCCTTTAGCTCAAGTAGCAACCATGAGGTTGAAAAACAAAGACCATTAGGGATGGTCTGAGTGGATTTTTTTTTTTTTTTCCTTGATACCTCGGGGTGACTGCTTGGGGGGTGGGGTGAGTAGCTGAGCAGTACGAAGTTTGTGTTCGTACAGCTCAGCCGCCTCACAGCCTTGGTGTGCAACTCTGCTTCCCGACAGTTTCCTTGTACAGCCCCGAGGAGGAGGAAGAGGAGAAGAAGGGAGAGAAGATCTATTTATATATGCATCTGAAGCAGCAGCCTATCTGGTAAAGACTGGTTATCCACCTTCAGCTGGAGCGCTGTGCCTGGTACTTCTGAATCAGCTGGCATGAGCATCCACTTGCACAGCACCAGCAGTATGAGGGGGAACCCAGGCCCTGTGCTGGTCCTGCTATGCTGGCTGAGTGACATGCTGCCGTTCCCCATAACTCAGCCATGTGCCTGATCCAAGTATTCTATTCTTCACGCATGCAAAGTTGACTTTGCCTTTCCCCTACCCCCCAAACAATGAGATCTGTCAACGCAGCCACTGACCAAAACCCCCCAAAACCAGGAATTAACAGCTCCGTAAAGCTGACTTCTCTTTGCAGCATGCTGTGTGCATAGAAGCCAAAGGCTGAATCTGTGTGGAAGGCACTTTGGCAGGACCCCGCGTACAAATGCCCCGCGGTCGCTCAGAGGTGCGCTGGGGTGGCAGTTGTGTTCTCCCATGCAACACGCGGTCTCCAATGCCTTCTCCCTGTTTTGTAGGCACACCCTGAGATTTTGGAATGCAGCCTTTTTCGATGCTGTCCATTGTGAGAGGAGGAAGAGATCTCCCACCACCAGGTAGGGCGTGAACATTAAATCCTGGCTGCCCTTGGCAAGGGAGAGCTGGAAGGCAGGGGGAAAACTGCCCATGCTTCACTCTCAAACTCCCCAGCCCCACCAACAGTGGAGATGACAGGTTAGACCCTTCCCGCTGCAGCTGTTTGCTGAGAAGTCCACCCAGCGGATAGCTGTTTAAATCCTGCTGCACTGCGAAGGCAGTTGCCATGGCTAATGCTAGAAATTAACTGCATGAAGGTCCGAGGTGCTTGGAATCCTGGGTGGAGCATGAGGGGGCAGGAGTACAGTGAAAGGAGCCTGCCCCCTCCTCCAGGCGTTCTCTCTGAAGGCCCTTTCTCTGTACTTGGCGCAGAGCATAGAGGGGCTTGGTTACCATAGGCTTAGATGGGTTCAGCTGTGCAGTTCCCATGGCTGTTACAGAGGCCATGTGCCTTTGGGACAGGAGAAATCCATTGAAATCATCTCTCCAAAACAGCTATGTTTGTATAGCAAATAGATCATGATCAGTCTCCTTTTACTTACCTGCCAAGACCTGAACCCAAAGTCCTGCTTTCGCCCTGCCACTGTTGACTTGATCTACTGAAACAGAAGCAGATTGCAGGGAAATGCTCTGCCTTACGTGTTTGATTACAAGACTGCTATGGAAGTAGAACCCTGAGCTTGAGTCTAGGCAGCTAAGCCAAGGAAATAATACATTTTCCAGTGTTCTTTTTGAATACAGATACATGTGTAATTTAAGTCTAAACATTTATCCTGTTGAGGATTTGGGATCTCAGAGGTTTTCTTGTTTTTAATTGCTTTTAAAGGGACACAGTCGCAGAGCTTGGGTCCAAAATCTAGTAAGGTTTTTTTGTCTGTTTTATTTACTTTTTTAAATGCAAGTCTTACGAGAGCTGTGTTAATAGAGACCTTTCAGGGAAATGATAAAATTATATGGGAGGTTTCGTTGCTAGGATTGCAAAATCCTCTGTAGTGTTAGGAAAGGGCAATGGCAGCATGGTACAGGCAGAGGAGAAGTAGAAATGAAATCGACTCAGAAGAGAAGTGAAATTCGCCTTTCAAGTTACTCAATTAAATGTTGAAATAAGCTTCATAAATGGTGAGGAATCAATTTGTTTTTTAAAATTCTCTCTGACTTAGTCTTCTGAAATGTTGCTTATAACAGAAGGTGGGGTCACTTACTTTAAAAAAAATTTTTTTTAACCTGACAATGTCCCTTTAAGAAAGATAGCATGGCGATGTGCATAAGGCACTGGATTGGGAGTCCGAAGACCTGGCTTCTGTTCCTGCTCTTCCACTGACTCAGTGTGTGACCTTGGGTGAAGCAGGTCTTTGCCACAATTTCCATACCTCTGAAACGGGGACAATGCTTCCTTACCTTTGTAGAGTGCTTTGAGATCTGTGGTTGAAAAATGCCAAGTGTTGCAATCAAGGACTCAGCTACTTACCAGATATGAAGTGCCCTGATGGACTGGAAAAGACTGGCATGTTTTCAGTACTTTTTAAGCACAGACCAATGAAAGATCCTACTGAACATTAATACAACTTGCATTTATGAAGCATGAAATTAGCAGCAGCGAATGTCTCGCAAGGTCATGTGCCTTTGGCAGCTGCTCTGTGATGAGAATGCCTTTCTGAGCTAACCGGATGGCTGATTTTCCTTGTCGGCAAAAACAAAACATATTTGTAATTCATACGTTTTCTGAGCTTTGGCCAGGGGTATTGCAAATAGGGGGGAGGGATAGCTCAGTGGTTTGAGCATTGGCCTGCTAAACCCAGGGTTGCGAGTTCAATCCCTGAGGGGGCCATTTAGGGATCTGGAGCAAAAATTGGGGATTGGTCCTGCTTTGAGCGGGGGTTGGACTAGATGACCTCCTGAGGTCCCTTCCAACCCTGATATTCTATGATTCTATGAAATATTGTTGAGGTTTTGAAAAGCTGCAGCGTCTCATGTGGCACCTCTGGGAAGGTAGGAAAGGCCAGCAGCGTAATGTGAGCCTTTGCAGGGCTTGCTGAATGAAAATATAAATCCTAGCAGGGAGAGCAGATTTAAAATGAGCAGCGTCCTGCAACTCACTTTGGGACACTGTAAAAATATCAGATTCAGTGGCTTACCTTTTAGCTTTAATTAAAGGACAATCCAAAATCAACAGAAAGCATCGCTGTGGTTTTGTTGTAGCAGCTCCAAGGAAGGCCAAGGGGAAGCCCTCTAGACTCAGAGTAACATTCTGCGTTGGTTTGAGCCCTTCTGTATCAATATCCCTTCGTTCAAACCTGGTACCCAGTGGGTGATTGGCCATGGTAGAGTCAAGTTTCTACAAAAGGGGCTTTTAGTATCCCAGCTAGACCCAAGGATGTTATTCACAAAGGCATTTCTGGATCTTCATCCATGGCTGCTTGTGCAACAAGCTGACCTGTAAGGCTAAACCTTACTGAGTTTGACAAACTATGGTCGCGCTGGCTTGAGGGGCGGTAGCTCGGGAATCTAAGCCTCAGGCTGGCAATTCCAAGATTCCCCCTGGAACTGCAGTTTCAACTCTTGTTTCAGCTCCTCATTCTTTCATGGCACCTGTACAGTGAGGGCTATGCTGATTGGGAGTGAGACCTTAACCCCCTGTATCCCTGCCCCACAGGCAGGACGCTAATTCATGGGAGAGGAATGGTTTGTCCTACTGTCTTAGCTCAAATGGCCCCTACTGGTACATCTCCCCATGCTGTTATGCAGCATGCTGTGCCCACCCCAGAGCTGCATGCATTTCTCTGGCGCACGCATCTAGTTTGCAAAGCGTTTACCCTTCCTGAGGGATGAAGGGCTCAGGCTGCTGTAGAAGTCAAACGTTAAGAAATGGACACAGTATTTTAGTGACTGACCTTTGTCAGAAGGCAACTGGAAGGTGGGCCATAAACTCTGCTCCCAGTCAGTCAGTGCCTGGGTACTATGGGGTGTTTTCATGTGTGCTGTCACTGGTACCTACAGACAGACACACACACACACACACACCCTACTTCCCTTCCCCTCCCTTCCCTTCTGTTGTGGGGAGGGATATAAGTTGCACTCTTGATATGTATGGCACCAAGCCTTTTTGTGGTGTCATTAAGCCTCAAACTGGGCTAATTCCCGCTACAGCTTTGTAGCATTCTGTTAACTCTACTATCTCGCTCCCCCCCCGCACACAACTCTGGTGAAGGGTCTCCAGGGTTTCAGCAGCTCTGCAGGGATGTGTGCTTTCTAGCATGGGCTAGGGCGTCATTCAGAGACTCCTATGGGGTATGAGAAAGCAGGGTACATTGCCAACTCGGGGTAAGGCAGGAATGACTTAGCCTAATTTGTGGTATTGGTTAGAGACTGTCCAAGACATAAGTGATAGCGTGAAGGCCCTTTTTCTAGTACTCAAGCCAAAATTGAGCCCTGACGTTTGTAGGTGCGGTGCTTGATGGGAATGCCTTACACCTGCTTACACCAGAGGTGCATTTGACACTCATTCCTGTTTGTAGGCAGGAATCCAGAGGTAATGGATTGAATCTTGAGTCTAAATCTCCTTGGAAACTCTTCTCTGCTGTGCTTAGTCATCTTACTTTGTCCCCATAGTTTTTTTTTAAAAGCGGTTGCTTCTCAGCAGTCCTTGCTAATTTTCCGCCAGTGAAGAGGTCATCCCTCTATTGGAATTAACTTAGTAACCACTTGGGAGACCCAGCTCTTCATTCTTACTGCTCTGTAAATGCTATGCTAAACTCTGCTACCGAAACTTTGCTGTAAGGAACCTTTTAGTGTTACAGACATCTCCTGGGGACTGAGATTCCCCTGGTGAACATAAGCAGCTTTGGTATGCTGTAAACATACCCTATGGTTATAGCTCTGGGCAGTAGTTTTGTCACTGAAAACTTCAAGATAAGTCCTAGGCTGATCAAAGAAAATTCCCAAATCAGACAGACAGCAGGATAAAGTTATTTCCTCTCCATTAGTGACTTAGGAGAATGTTAAACATCATCTATGAGGCATAAACATATTTCAATCAGCAGGTCCAGATAACTTCACCCCAGAGTCCTAAAAGAGTTGGCTGAGGAGATTTTTCTGGGCTGTTTATGTTAGATTTTTAATAAACATTGCAATATCAGGGAAATTCCAAAAGATTGAGAGAATACTAATATTCTGGCAGTATTCAAAAAGGGCAAGCACGAAGACCCAGGTCAGGCCAATTAACCTGGTATCCAAAATAATGTAAAGTTGATATGGAATTGAATTAAAGGATAGGAATATAATTAATGCTAGTCAGCAGGCTTGCATGGGAAATAAATCTTGTCAAACAAACCTGATTTAATTCTTTGAGATTATCAAATTTATCAAATTTGGTTGATAAAGATTACTGCGTAGATAATAATACATTTAGGCTTTTGTAAGGCGTTTGATGTGGTACTGCATGCTATTCTGATTAATAAATTAGCACTATAGAATATCAATGAAGCGCACATTAAATAGTTTAGGAACTGACTGACAGATCTCATAAACCAGCGGTCAGCGATGAATCATTGAGAAGGTGTGTTTCTAGTGGGATTCCTCAGGCAGCGGTACTAGGCTTGACACTATTCAACGTTTTTATCAATGATCTAGCAGTAAATATCCAATTGCTTTCGATAAAATTTTCAGATGACAGAAAGATTGGCAAATACAGATGAGGAGAGGGAAGTTATACAGAGAGATCTGGATCGGTCGGTAAACTGGACCCATTCAAGCAAAGTGTGTTTTAATACAGCCAAATGCAAAGTCAAGGAATGAGGGCCAGACCTGCGGAATGGGCGAGTGTATCCCAGAAAGCAGTGACTCGGAAAAGGGTTTCTGGGTCAGAGTGGACAAGCACTGAACAGGAGTTCCCAGTGCAAGGCTCTGGCCAAAAAGACTGGTGCTATCCATGAGTGTATAAACAGGGGAGTAGCTCTGGGGATGTGATTTTATCTCTGTATCTGGCACTGATGAGACCGATACTGGAACGCTGAACGATGTTGAAAAAATTGGAGAGGGTGCAGAGAACCGTTTCAAAAAGGAATCAACGGCTGAAGAAAAAGCCTTGCCATAAGAGACTTCGAGGTCAGTCTGTCTAGCTGATCACAAAGAAGATTGAAAGATGACTTGATGACAGCGTATAAATGCCTTCCTGGGTGCCAAAGGGCTCGTTAACCCAGTAGAGAAAGGCCTAAGGAAGCTGTAGCCAGACCAATGCAAAATGGGAATTAGGCACAAATTTTTAACAGTGAGGGTGATTTTACTATGGGAACAAACTACCAAGGGAAGTGATGGTTTCTGCATCTCTGGGTGTCTTCCAGTGAACAGTGGATACCTTTCCGGAGGGTAAGCTTTAGCCAAATGCAAGTTGTTTGGTAGAACACAAGCATAACTGGGTGAAATTGAATAGCCTGCGATATGAGCAGATCAGGCTAGGTGATCCTGTCCTGTCCTGTCTGGCCTTAAAATCTATGAATCCATGAATATAGTTAAAATATAAAAGCTGACAAGCCGGGTTTTCTTCTTTTCAAAAAGAAAAGAATTCATTTGAGATCCAAACCCCCCAACAGGTGAACTCTGCAGACGTGCAGCAGTCTGAGCATTGCACGTGAGTTTCTGGTCTTGGAAAAGAATATTGTATGTTCCTAAATTGGATCCCATTCTCTATCCAGGCACTTCTGTAGTTGACTGTGAACATGCTGCAGATGTGCAGTTGGCTGATGAACACCATGCAAAAACAAGTGGTTGCCAGGATCACATTGCACATGGCCACAGTTTCCAAAATTTAGCATGCAAACTGCTGAGACACCTTGGTCCTGGCAGGGCTTGGAGACAGCCAGATCTGCTCATCGCAGCCCTTCAGACAGGGACGGCACAGTCTCTGCAACTAAAATAAAACCACTGCAAGTCCTTTTAAGTTAGGAATCAGGGGGCGAAGCAACAGGCTTGGTTCTGGCTCTGCCTGCTCCATGTGGATGCAAGGTAAGGTGGCATGCAGACGTGGCACTCACTGCTTCATAGAGAGGAATGAGATGAAAATAGGGTGAATTACCTCTGAATGGCACAAGAAGAGATTCACCAGCAGCTTCTTATCATAGCAACCAGTGATTGATACCATCAGAATACCGGTTCTAGGAACCTGCAGTGTCTTCCAGCTGTGATCATTAATGCAGGAGCGTGTACCTATTTCAGGGTTTCTCCTACGGGATTGAATGCCTCCAGCATCTCACGTGTGCAATGGATTGTAAAGGGAATCGTGACACAGTGAGGCTGCAGCTTCCTTTCATATAATTGTGATGGAGGATTGAATCTGAGCAATCAAAGCAGGCCGTGGCCTTCTGTCCTTTTCCCAGGAGCTATGGAGGGGCTTCATGCAAAAGTCACATGCAGATGTAAAACGCCTTCAGGATTTACAGCCCGCCTGGCCTGGCCTGTGGTGTGGGTGTCTGTTTCTAAAGATCTCTGTGCTTTAAAGATCATAGCTCCATTTCCGTAGGCACTACGAGATTCATCTTATTACACCTTGGGCTCTTCATTCTCAAAGCATTTTACAAACATTAATCTTTGCAGATGCCTGGGAGGCAGACAAGCATTCTCATCCCCGTGGTACAGGTTGGGACACTGAGGCGGAGGGAAGTGATTGTGTCAGGGACGGGATTAGAACCTGCAAGCTCCTGGCTCCCAGTCCAGTGCTCAGACCAAGACTCTGTCACCACGTTATATAGTTCCTTGTAAGGTCTCCAGTGCATAACATGAAAAGGGCTTAAACTAGTCCATTGCATTAGCAACAGTGTCGGTGCCTCAGTTAAGGTTTGGCTCGCCAAAGAAAAGGCGCGATCTTGATGTCGTTCATTTTCTCAGGCATTGGTTCAGACTGGGTTCTGGTCTCCTGGTTACTCCCTAGGGTCTGGCCTACTCTGACATCCTGACTGAGGGTGTGTCTATACATGCAGCTGGGGTTGCAATTCTCAGCTTGAGGAGATAAACTCACACTAGCTCTCGCCAAGCTACTGTGCTAAAAATAGAAGGTAGCCGTGGCAGCATGAGCAATGGGATGGGTTAGCCACCACAAGTACGTGCCCATCAGAGACCCTAGGTACGTACTCGAGCCAGCTAGCTCATCCCGCAGCTCGTGCCGCTGCAACTCCACACATCCGGATAGCATGAGTATGTCTCCTCCAGCTGGGAATCACGCTTCCGCTTCCAAGTGTAGACGTACTCTGCAGCAGACTCTCGTTGAAGCTGATGGGAGTTTGTCTGAGTTAAGGACCTTGGCGTTTGGCCCTTGGGGATTTAAGGTGAGGAGAAAAACATCTTCTGTCCAGAGACTGGTCCCTTTCGGTGTTCGACTCCAAAGTCTTGCTTTATAGATGGGAGCTTCCCTTAGAACTGTTCACCTGCTCTGGAGGTGCAATCTTGGAGGTGAGAGATCATTGAGTGTGCACAGCAGTCACTGATCCCCTCTGACCAGGCTAGAAAGACACACTGGGTCCCTGCAGTGAGACACTTTCCCCTGACCTTCCTTTTCTTAAAGGCCTCCAGGGGATAGTCTGCTTTTGTGAACGCCTTTTCTCACCAGGCTGGGTTTGTATCTCTCAGTTCGCAGCCCTCTGGGGGAGGAAAACCCCTAAAGCAACAACTGCCTAAAGTCCTTCCCCAGGGCGGCTGGGGGCGTGTAGCAGGAATATTTGGTTTCATGCTTGGTAATTGCTTTGGAAGAACAGGAGCAGAGTTGAGATAACCGGGAAGGCGATTTTCCTGCAAGGGGGAAAGAAAAATAACAAAAATCCTTTTTTCTTCTCTGCCTATAATGACTTTTCTTTCTTTCATCTGTTCTTCTCTTTTTCTCCATCCATATATCTTGCATGATCTTTAACATGTAACCTTTGTTGACCCTGTTTCTGCTGCCACTCCAGAGGGAACACTGGAGAGGAAGAGGAAAAGAGGTGTGTCTGTCCGCATTACTTTGTTGCATTTTTACAGTAGCATTGACTCGCTTCAGGTCCAAACTTTGCCACCATGGTAAAATGTCACAGGTGCAGGTTGGGCTCAGAAATGCCACCTGTTCCAATGAGAAATAGGCACAAATTCAGATCTGGCTCTACCTGCAGGAAATGGGGACCGGGCTAGCAGTGAGACTAAAAGAAAACTGTCTGGAAACAATTCTATGCAGAATCCTCAGATGTGGTAGATTTTAAAACAAAATTTAATCACAGGCCACTGCATTGGGGTGTCTCGGTAATGAACTAGGTCCGTGATGGATAGAGTTGATGGTTTGTACTTCTGTTCTCTTGTGCCATTTCATACACTGGCAACTGTGTGATGCTCCAGTTTCATGGGCAGTTTTTGGACACAAACTGAGTCTCCTAGCATAGACGGGGAATGTCATTCTATCCTCTCTTCCTTATTTTATTTTTTCCTTTGCTACTGACTCTGTGAAATGGTGTGGTCTGGTGAGCGTTGCTTTTTTCGCGTTCAGTTCCTGATGCCTGTGCGGTTCTGAATCAAGGTATATTCGATCCTCTGCCTTAGTGCGTTTCCAACACTGCTGTTGCTTTGAGGTTGTGAAGATGTTTTGCTGGTTTGAAATCTTGCCTTTTTATTTATTTTATTTTTTCTTTAAATTGTGACTTATGGGGTTTTTTTTGTTTTATTTTTTAAAGTGCCCATTAGGGGAAGCTAGCAAGTTGCACTGAGAGTTATGTTGTTGAGCTTTACAAGTTCAAGAAACAATCTACTGGGGATCAGAGTCAAGAACAGACTGGAATCTGGGGCTGGGGAGAGATTCTTTGATTTAAAAAGAAATTTTAGATCTTGATGTCTGATCCTGGAACAAATCGTTTTAAGTGACAACAAAAAAAGCCTACCTGAAAAAAAGACTATTTGGAGTTCATAGATAAGTTATTGAAAGCGCAGCTAGTGTCTGTTAGGGGAAGGAAATCGACTCGATTTGTGTAAGCAGAGCACTGCTCAGATTAGTTGCCTATTGTGAAATTTACCCGTGCACAGGCCGAGATTAAATGGGACTTTACTGATGCACAGGGCCTTGTACATCTTATCTGCATGCAGAGTGGGGTGAACTTCAACCCTCGTACATCACAAATCACACTGCTGACCAGAATTGGACATGCACCTGCTGAGACCTGGAGTTCTCGGTAGTCCAACATCCTGAGCTTGCTGGTGCATTGCCCTGCTGAGGAGCTATAATATTCGAAGCTCATTTTGCAGAAATATCCTTTCCCTAGTACATTTTAAATAATATAGTCAAATCTCTAATCTATATGCCCTCCTAATAGGGATTAAGTGAAGAAACAAATGGATCTTTACAGTGGCCTTTTGTGTCAGTATAAAGATCCATGTACTTAAGTAGAGACATATTTTTTCCTTTGCAAACATGTTATTCCTAACCCTAGATCTAGAAGTATCATGAATCTCCCTTGGTCACTTTGATCTTGTTTTCTCTCAGCAAGAATATACGAGGAGGGCAGAAAAACCTAAATACGCTTCTTCTGTAACTGGGACAATGAGATCTGTCAAATTTTGCTTCCAGCGTTCAAAGCACCTTGCTGATTTTCTTTTCTGCCCACCCCCTGGCAGCCTTCAGATTTAGGTGCATATTTTGGTTGCTATCGTGAACCTGACCCTGACAGACTTTGTGCTTTTAAACATACACCTAAACATTCTAGTATGGCACAGAATTTGGCCACACAAACTCCACTGAAGCAGCTAAATCCCTTGCAGTTTACAGGCCCAATCTTGCAAAGCTGTCTCACAAGAAGTGAACATGTGAGGAAGGGCTTACTGGATTGGGCCCTACCTGGAAGCAGTCTGAGATAACTGGCTATTCACCAGTCCTAGCAGGAATCGACACTTGTTCTAGTTAGGGTGACCCAGTGGAATTTGCTGAAAAGATACCCAAGTGCCACCATCTATTTCCAATTGAAGCAGCACCTCCAACTCCAGATAGGGTGCAGGAGAGTTAAATGTGCGGTGGACGTTTGTGTGCTGTTCCTTTTATTCTCCTTTTGTCTCTCCTCTGTTATTTCTTCTTCCTGTTCCTTTTTCCTTCCCTTTTCTTGATCCTCTTCTGAGCCTTGTATGTAACCCCCCACCGGACTTCTGTTTAGTGGAGGGCTGTCTGAAACCCTGACCTCCGGGCTTCCCCATATGCATGTATTACATGAGTGTAATGAACATACCTAGAATGACTCGTGTCCTGGCATGATCGTGGCTTTGTGAAAGACCTACTTGTAAAACATCTGTATGGGGAGCCCCACAACCTCCTACTGTTGGTTAGTTTTGAATGCACACAGTAATCTTTCACAGCAATATGTGAGCGGGAGCATACAAAAACGGTGCTGGCTATGACCGAAGTACAATAGGCTGATTTGTATTTGATCAAACATGTCTAGATGGACTTGCACCTAGCTCCTGGGAATAATGTCACGTTCTCCAGTAATGAAATGCTTGGCAAGAACACAAATGCTGTGTGTATTCTAGGTAATTGCATCTGGCAATCCACTCAGTTTTTCTCTGCGCTTCTCACTAAGGAGAGAAGGGAGTGGATGCAGACTTGTTGGGTAAAGAGCTCAAAATACAGTCCAAAAGGTGCTGATCCACCAGTGCTGTTGGGTATCATCCCCCATGGCGCTTGCACTTCAAAGGAACATGCATCCGATGAAGTGAGCTGTAGCCCACGAAAGCTTATGCTCAAATAAATTGGTTAGTCTCTAAGGTGCCACAAGTCCTCCTGTTCTTTTTGCGGATACAGACTAACACGGCGGCTACTCTGAAACCTGTCATTATTTCAAGGCTTTGTCAGTTCCCCCAAATGGGACCCCAATTCAACACACGTAGATTGTTTTAAAGCTTTACTATTTTGAAGGTGAAGTTGCCAGAGACGAACTGAGACTGCATCATCTAGCTCAAAATATTCCTCGGCGAACGCGGGCTACATGGCTAGCGTTGCATACTGAGACCTTGGTAATCCTCACGGGGAGGGCTCTTGCGTCTCATTTCAAACGCCCTCGAATCAAACTCCATTGATTTGTCAGCTCCCTTCTATCTGATGATTGCCGGTCCACAAAGCCTGTCGGACCTCGCCCGCAGTGGCCTGGTGTGACATGCCATGCAGCCTGATCTGGAGTGCAGAGCGCAGCTTCGTAAGCGAGGTAGTTGCCCAACTGAGTCGTGTGACTGCTGCCCATGGAAAGAGGCATAATCAATGCCTTTTCCCTTGTTTATTTTTTTGTTATCCAGGAGTCCAGATCTCTCTGCATCTTGTTTTTTGGGGGGGATTGGGGGGAACCTTGACTGAGTCCTGCTCTAAGCCCCTGTCTGTACCACAGCAGCACAGCCATGGCACTGGAGTGTAGACGCTTCCTGCGTCCACAGAAGGGGTTTTTTCCAGCAGTGTAGTTAATCGACCTTCGCAAGGGGTGGTAGCAACACCAGCAACGGGGGCGAAGGCAAACTAGCTCTGACGCACAGGGCGTGACATTTTTCACAGCCCCGAGCCATGTAGCTGAGTGGATCTAATTTTTAGACACCGACCCGGCCTAAACACAGATATTACACCAAATTAACTGAATCCATGAAACCCCCCGCCCCCTTTAAACTAGCGCAGGCTTGAATGTAGACCAGGCCTGAGATGTGGGTGAATACTTTACCTTCGGGGCTCCTGCTTTCAGGGACTGCAGCTCCCAGACAGTAAACCCCCAGCACCCACCCCCTTCCCAGTAACAGTGGCATTAACGGCAGATTTCAGAGCTGCGTGCTGATGTGTCCCTCCTCTCAAGCTCACCCTTTTGCCATCGGTGTAGGGACTCGTTTTCATGTACAATAAAGCAAGGTCATGCAGATTTCCCTCGCAACTGCAGTAAATACCTACAGTATCTGCCGACTCCAGCTTAGGGGAGGGTTCAGCCGTTTGCCCAGAAGAGAGAGAGCAGGGCAAGGAGGCAGGTGTTCTGCACCTGTAATCTCCTCCAAGCTGCTGTGATCTATTCTTCATCTTCATCGGCTCCACAGTTCCTACAAGGGTCTCGGCAGCCCGCAGGGTTTGGATGGATGTGAGGGTGGGGAGGGAAGGCTGCATGGTGACTTCCCGCTATAAGATCTCTTCCTGTGGTTGCAGGGAGAAGTGGTGTCACATGACCCAGGAGGAGCGTGACGACAGCCTGCGGTTTAACGAGAACATCACTTTTGGGCAGCTTGGGTAAGGCACGCGCTAATTGACTGATAAAGCCTGCATCTGGGTGGCCAGAAAGAGCCTGTCCATTGTCGTCATGGGAAAAATCTCAATAAAAATGGATGGGAACAGAGCTGCGAAGCTTGGATCGGGGCCCGAGCATTCAGGTTCAGGGCTTTGAGTCGGGTCTCTTTCTGATAATGAAGACCGGAAATTCAGTCTACCCGAGGGGATGAACAGACTGACGCCAAAGTGAAGGGATTGCTGGGCTATTGGTGTTTCCTTCCTTGATTAAACAGCTTCGGTGGTGGAGCCGAATGCTCTCACTCCTGTATTGAGACTGTCCATTCATGGAAAACACTAGTGGTTTTTTTAAAATCTATATAAAGATACTCAGAACCAGGATTCTAGTGTCCAGGGTTTTCCAGCCCCTCTTCCTCATGTCTACTCCCTCCTAAGAGCAAACACGAGGATTCTCCAGCCTTGATAGGAAGAAATCCACTAAGTTCCTCTCGCCCGTGGCTCGGGCTGGGATTGGAAGAACCCTCCCCTTTGCCCTTGTCGCTCTTGTCAGGTGGGGGCTGAAATGGGGGGTTAGCTTGATGGCTGCGGTGGGTGGGGGAAAGGAGGAGAGTTCAACAGACACCCCCAGATTGGTGGAGAGGGCGAGAGGCTCTTTGCAGCCATCAGGGGGTGTACGCTGGACTCTAGAGCAGGGGGTTTCACCTGTTCCAGACCAGGACCCTTGCCCCGTGTAGCAATACGGGAAGGGCAGGGTATGCCCAACCCCTCTCCCCCCGCGACTCCTGTTCCAACCCCTGGACTGTACAGGTGTCCGATCACAACACCACTGCCTTTCGGGGAGTCCCAGAGCTGAGTTCTGCGGTTGGGGCCGGCCCTGCTGGCTAATGTTGGGGAGTGGTGCAGTCCTGCTGGGGTTTCCCGTGAGAGAAGGGTCGGGGACTCTTTGCAGTGCGCGTGCCATGTGTCTCGCCTCTTCCCCAGCACCTTCACTCACAACATGTTGGCGTTTGGCCTGAGCAAGAAGCTCTGCAACGACTTCCTGAAGAAGCAGGCTGTGATCGGCAACCTGGATGAAGGTAGGGCAGGCCCGGGGGCTGTGCGCGGGAGCCCAGCACCACCTCCTGGAGGGAAGGGAACGTGGCTGGTGGGGAGGAGGTGGGGAAGTAATTGAATTCCAAGATGGCTTCCATTCCCAGCACTGGCTCCTCCTAATCTATGGCAAACTCCAAATATTTCACCGTATTTTCACTGACACTTTCTGAAATGCTTGGCACGTTTCTTAATGTACCGGATGGGTCTGATTCGGAGTCAGAATCCGTTGGAGTCAATGGGGCCAGACCCCCAGATGGGGTCAATTGCTATAGCGCCAGTGAAGTTAATGGCCCCAGATTCCCTGCTGGTATGAACTGCTGCAGTTTCGTTGGAGTAAATAGGGCCAGATCCACAGCTGGTGCAAAGGGGCACGTTGCCGTTGATTTCAATGGGGTTGGAGCCCCAGCTGGGGTCTATTAATGTAGCTCGGGGTGATTACAGTGGAGAGATGCCACTTCACACCAGCTCCCAGTCTAGCTGTGTGGATCATTGGTTTGTTTACAGTTCAAGACTCACGTGGGGGAACTCCCCATCCAGTAGTTTCTAAACCAAATAAAAAACAAAAATGTTGCTACCTTGCTAGTTGTGTCACTGCCTTGATTTATTTAAAGAGCCCCAGAGCCCTTAGGACAGAATCTGCCCCACATGTGCGACCCACTCTCCCTCTCCTTTCATCTTATCAGAACGATAAACCCTGGCGTCACAAACGCATTTTCTCTTTGCATTGCAGAGCAAAACAAGCTGCTTAGTGATCACATTGAGCAAATGGCTGCCGAATAGCCATCTGGCCTGTGTCCGGCGTTTGGAGCGAGGCGGAGAGGCGCGGCAGTGGGTGTGGGTGCGGAGTGGGAGGACTCCTCCGAGACCACCCGCAACTGAAGATGGGCTACGTAAAACCACCGCAATAAACCTGCATGATTGTCAGCAAACCTTAGCGCTGCGCCGTGCAGCCCGTAGAAATAGGAGCTCAACAAAAGCAGCCCTTTTCAGATGCTCCGTCATCCCAGAGCCCCGTCACATTGTCCGAGTCGAATATTCCAAGAGGTGTTTTTGTCTGTAAAATGGAGTAACTGCTCAAGATCCCTGTGTGTTTATGTGGGCTCGGGGGAAGGGCAGGATTGCTGTATCCCAGGCTCCAAGGAGGTGCCTTGCACTGGCCATGCTGCTGAAAACTGTTTCCTGATGTGACTGCTGCAGTAGCCAACAGCGGATGAGATCAAAAGATACTGTAGGCAGGGTGGGGGGTTGGGTGTAAAGGGAGGGAATAAAATGGTAGCACTATGGGCTTGTTACTTTAGAAGGTTGGTACCCAGTGGCTAATCCAGGTGAAAACAGGACTTTAAGGCCCCCACCTCCGAGATCAAGAGCTGTGTCCTCCTTGTGGTGCGTCGTGCATTGAAAGTTTATCCACGACAACTGCACCATGCCTTTTGCTCTGGCAGATTAGCAGCTGCTGCAATAGGAACCAGCCTTGAGATCAGAGCAATCTGTCCCATCTTCTGGTTTGACCTGCCGTTCTGCAGTGAGATGGGCTGATGCCCTTGCAGTTTGTACAGCCCTTCCAAAAGGAAACGTTGATTGCTTCCGTTATTGGGGCTAGAGAGGGAGAGAATTCTTTAGTGACAAAATCTGGGCAGATGGGACCACTCTGGTAAAGGGTAGGAGACTGATCTCGGAGCCACTGCAGCATCTTTGATGTCGGTAGTCTGATTTTGTGTCAAAGTGCATTTCATTATCTATCTGAAAACGTCCCTCTTGGTCTGGGTGATAAGCAGGCATACAGAAACTCATGCAGATGTCTCTGCAGTCAGAGAAACGCAGCATCTGGCTAGCCAGCCCCCTCCTTTAATACGAAGATTCTTCCAAGGTGACCCTTTGAGAGCTTTACTGTATTTGCTTCAAAGGAACGCGGGTGACGTTTGTACATCTCAGGGTGAGGGCAAATAAAGGAACTTCCTTAGTACGCTGGATAGACTGGTGGCAGCCTTGTTCGGGGGAAGCTGTAGTGGTCCGTCAGCTGGAGAGAGGAGGAGAGGGGTTGCTTTGCTTGGTTTCTGTTGGTAGAGATGGTAAAGCTGTAGCAGGACGACCTTCTCCCTTCTGCCTTTCCTCTTGCAGATTTTAAATTCTGAAAATCCTCCAGGTGGCGCCTTCCCACTGGGAGCTGCTCAGCAATGGCAGCTACCCTCTTCCCCAGAGCTTCACCCCATATCAGTTTGCTTGGTGGAGCTGGGGAGTGTAGTTCAAGGCTGGGACATGGAAATATATGGGATGTGAGAGTCTGGCCCCCAGGTGGGGGAGGAACTCTGGGGCAGGAGGCAACCCAAAAATGATTGGAGCATGGCGTGTCCTTGTGACTTTCCCTAATACAAAAGAAACCCGGGTTAATTTTCCTACTAACCACCGCTTCCAGCCACCGGTCTTCCAGACGTACCAGACCAGACTGCTGCATGTCTGTCTGTCTACTTTTAAATAACACATCCCGTTCAGATACAACCTGCACGCCTCCGGGGTGCGAGTGAGTCACTCGGCCTCTGGGCTTTCTCAGTGCCATGATACAGATTGTGTTGTTCTTGTTCCAAGTGGAAACGAAATATTAATCTTATTATTTTCCCACAAATCTAATCATCCTCGGTTCTCCTTCCTGACCCCTCCCGTACCAATCAGCTTCATGAGCCATCCTGAAATGGCCTTGTGTAAATACTCATTTTATTCCTGGCCTTGAGTGACTCCAGCCTCCCTGGATATATTGTAATCAGTAGAGCAGAGTACAGACTTTCATTTCTTTCTGGGTCCCTTGTTACCAGTGTGGCATGCAGTGTGTGTCAGTGAATCTTGGGTGTCAAGTGTTGAGAGAGGGATGGAGTGACTAGAATTATCTAGGTATAATACCAGTGACTTTAAAAGAGGCCACAGACTTTACTATATAAACCTTTTTTTTTTTTTTTGGTAGGGGCAGATGGCTAGATAAAAATGGGAAACTTGTAGCAAAACTCAGGGACTTTAGAGATCAATGCTGGAATTTCGTCTAGAAAAGCGTTATGCAAGGGAAATGGGTTTGCTTCTCCCTTGGGAAAATAAGGCACGTCGGAAGCCCGTGTTAAAGGCTGTGGAGCATGGCACAGAGACATGCAAAAGTCAGGCAAGCTGTGAGCCCTGTCACATGCTCTGTGGCTGTCAAATAAGAATTTACAGCCTAGCACACGCTAATTTCCAATAGAAATCGTGCAGTTGTCTACTCCAGAAAATGAAATGCTGCTTGTGTTGTGGTGTTCAGGTGACTATCTTGCTGGTTGTGTTCAATGCTTCGTCTCTCTTCAAAAGTATTACCTTCGCTGACTTCTGTGTTTACATGAGCCTGCGTTTCAAGGGATGTTTGTCCAGGGCTGCTCTGTGCCATCAGTTACGTACTGTAAGATTCATAGTGTTGCAGGTTTGTTTTATTGCAGCCGCTTGACTTGTTGGCCCTGCAGTGTTACTTCCTGAATCTATAGATTGGTATTTAACATCGTGAGTAATCTCTCTGCGAATATTCCCAGTCATGTTGAGATTTTTAAGTGTGCTGTGTGATTATTCCTAGCCCCCAAAGCAAGCCAGTAATCCTAGACTGATGCTCGGGAAATGAAAAAACGTCCTACATAGATGTTTGTAAAAGTGCTAAAGTCTCCTTGGAGTGTCGGAAGCAGCGGCATTCGATGTTGGGTATGTGACCAAATATTGTGTTCGTGAGCTCTGGGGTGGGCGATCCTGTTCCTGCAGATTGCAAATGCAGTCGATCTGCCTCTTCCGATACATGCCAGTTTTGATGTGTCCATGTTGTCGTTAGTTACTTACTACTAAGACTTGCTGTTCGTCATGGTGTTAATAGGAGAAGTCCATGCTTCGGTCCTGGGTTAAAAGGCAGAAACCACAACTAAGTGCAAATGAGAGAGATCCCAGAGCAGTCTAAGGAGAATGTGCTTTAGGGTTTGTTTTTTTTGCAATATTAAGTGGGAACAGCTGAGTAGCACAAGACAGTAAAAACCTCTGTGTTCCCTACACCTCCCAGAGTCACCTCTCTTTGCCCATGCTATCTAGCTAATGCCCTTGACACCCACAGCCCAGTTGCCAAGTGCACTCGCCCACTGTCACAATCCCCTACCTCAGCCTTTCAGGTCAGAGCTGCTTCGTGCCAAGTACACCTCCGGGGAATACAGGGTCCTGATCACTGCTCTCTTGTGGGGCTCCTGAGACTCCCCTCCCCTGTGGAATGCGGGAGAACTGGGGCAGTCAGGCTCCCAGAAAGCTTGGCAGATGCTTCCCAATAACCCCTCTCTCTCGGAGACACCCAAGGAGGAGGTAAGAGGGGAGTCATGCCAGCCTTGTAGGGTCCTTGTCCCCACTTGGAAAAGAGGCAGACACCCCCAATCCAGCAGCTGTCCATGACAGATGGCCAGCCTGACTCATGGGGCTGTATCTCCTCTCCTGTGGCTGTCCAGCATATGACGCAAAGGTCAGCTCCTTGCTTGCTGTTGGATTGGGAGTGGACACCTCTGCTCCAGGATCTCCAGAGTGCTCTGCTGGAAGAGAGGCTTGGTTCCCTACTGAAGTTAAGTTAGGAGACCATTGTCTGCGGACCAGCTAGCTGGTTTGGAGAGAGATCTTGACTCCACTAGCCAGGGCCACCGACGCACTCAAGCCATATGCAAAACTTTAAGCATGTGACTAGATCTACTGACATCACGTGATTAAAGTTGCACGCATATGTACAAAAGCACTTGACTGGCTCAGAGCCCCCAGACCCAATAACCTTTCCCATCCGTTGTTTTAGTTTATGAACTTTATCCCCTTTCTTCTTCAAAGCTGTGTCTTGGGGGGTAACCTCCTGCCCCTCAGCACCATGCAAGGTCATGGAGCGATGAGGATTTTAATGTCACGAGACTCATCTCCATAGCAAGGAGCTGCTGAGTCAAACCCTCCCCGTGATTACTGGCCTTGGGAACTGCAGCACCTGTTTAAAAAAACAAACAAACAAACTGACAGCCTTAAGGCTTCAGAAATGAGCTTTTCCTTCCCCAGGTGCCCCAACGCTACCCTCCAGATCCAAGTAGAAATGAGTTGACTTTGGTGTGTGTCAGTGTTTCTGGCATAGGCTGAGTCTTGCGTTTCTGAGCCAGAGTAAGTGCAGTGATGAGTGGGGGATGGGGCTGTGGTGAGACCCATTCTAAAATCCCCTCTGTGCCGCATGGAGAAAGGGCTTTGGCAACGTCAGTTTCAGGTTTGAGCTGCCCAAGCCGTGGAGGTTGGTTTTAGATTTCACCCTGGAGATGCAGTAGAAGAGATGAAGGCCCACTAACTAGCCTATCAGGGAAAGTAGCCCCCAGCCGAGATGACCAGCATCCCAAGACAGCACTCAGCCTGGGAGAGGGAGTTTGACAAAATGGCCTGTTTTTCCCCTTTGAGATCTCTTGAGACACATGAGGAATGATTGTAGACCTCCGAGGTGGAATGAGAAGGGTTCCAATCTGTGCAAATATGCTGCGGTTGAACCCCTCGTTCTGAAGTGTGTAGCATGGCCAAGCATCTCAATTGTACACATTACTTCTGGTACCTAACCCCCGGGCGGACTCCTGTGGGATGTGCTTATCCGTAATTGTGCTGATGTGTTACTGAACTTGGGGCAAAGCCAGGCCAAAGAGAACTGGAGCGCGCACGCTGCTCCATCCTGGTGCCCAAAGGGGATGAATTTGAAGGTTGCATCACCTAACTGAAATTCAGTGATTGTGTCGCTTTCCCAAGGATTGCTGGTATGGGATGTATTAGCCTAGAATTGTATTGTTTGGGGAGAAATCACTGCTATAGGAATGTAGCCTGCACTTAGAATTTTATTCTGCTTATTGGTGGGTTGATGGACATAGGGGCAGCTCCAGCAGTTGGCTGGTAGCTGATGGTCATCAAAGTGTAGCGTACAGTATGTCTGATCTCAATCTGTCTGTGTCTCTCATTTTTTCTTTCCTGAATTCTGCTGTTTTCTTCCAACACTAGAAAAGTTTAGCAGTGAAAACATGTTGTTTGCACGTGTATTTTTTCTAAAAAATATAAAATTAAAAAAAATTGTATGCAAATGCAAAGAAAATGTTTAAATGTATTGCCCCACGTTACAGAATGTTTGCTTCCATTGGGGTTCCAAATGCTGTATTTTACTCTTTATATAAATATAATTATATATATATTTGGTCTGAGTTTGACTTTGACACTGTATTTAACGTTACTGCCATATCATGGGCTGAGGGTGATTGTTAGACAATTGATGTGTTGTACTGGGATCATGTGACTTGATTTCCCAAGGGATCTTGGTTTAAGGATTTGTTTGAGACTATTTTAAGCCTGAAGACCGAGGGGGTTAAATTATGCATTCCTGTTTTGGACTGTGGTGAGGGATTAGAATAAATGGTCTTTAAACCCCCCTTCCCCCCACTCCCAATCAACTTTTACATTGAGCACATCACTGTATATTAAGCACGGTGAGCGTTTTGGGTTTTGTAGCAATGTCAGTGCGTGCAGAAGCAATGTCCCCATTCTCCCCACCTTTTCCCCATCTGATTATTTGCAGTATTTCCCCCCATCTCATTCCATTCAGTCGTCGTCCTCGCTCCTCCTTGTGCTCACCTGCTTTTTACGAACGATAATGTTGTTGCACCTTTTGAAAGCATGAGCATTTGCCCTGGAGCTGTCGAGGCAGCAAAGCCCGATTTATTTTTCCCCTGCACTGAGTCTTTTTGCGAATGGCCTGAAGATCCCACCATGGAGACGGGATTCTTAGAAGCCCCAGGACATTTCACTTTGCTGTATTTTAAACAGCAGTTATTCAATGTTAAGATATAAAAAGAATTTCCTTTGAATAATGGGCTTTAACTCTCATATTCCCCCTGCCGTTTAGCAAATCTAACCCAGGAAGCTTGTTTAAAACTCCTGTATCCATGTGGGGAATAATCTGCAAAACTAGCCTTGCAAACCTATTTCCATATCGTTTCCATACATCTGCCGCCTCTCCCTCCGTCTGTAAAAATGGTAATTGTCCTTGCCAGTAAAATCAGTTCCCAGATGATGCTTTGCATATACAATAGGCTCTAACAAAACTGAGCACAAGATTTCCTTTGTAAGCCATCTCAGTCCCCAGGCTTAAGTCCCCATCACAGTCCCCAGCTACCACCGTGTGTGCACATGGGCCCCGACACCTGATGCAACTTGTCCTCTTCTCTGAATGGTGGGGCTATAAAATATTTCCTGAGGGAGTGGGCAGGAGGAAAATGGTTTCCAATGGGAACAGAAGTTCTGCACTTCTAGGTCACTGGTTCAAATTTAGCCTGACTGGTGGGTACTGGCCAAGTCTCCTCCCTTTTTGTCAGCTGTTCAGTGACTAGTGTGAAACAAGTTGTTCTTGGACCATTTCCTGCTGGATAGGTGTCCATAACACCAACGTTGCACCCACAAGCCGCATGGCTGCCGGCAGTCTCTGCAGAGAGTTATGGGCTATTGAGACTAAACTAACCTCTCCCCTTAGAACTGGTTCCTCCAAGGTGTGTTGGGAGGACAGGCTAGGGAAAAGTCTGCAGCCCTGCTCCATGGATACGTGACGTGTACAATAGAGTTGTCAAGCCAGCTCCTTTCACCAGTACTAGAATTGCATCTGCCCACTGCGAACCTGAGCAAAATTTAGCACGTTAGTGCAAGTGGTTTGAGCTGGTGTCATTAAACACGTCAGCCAGTAGGAGACTTACCCATGCGTCATCACAGATGTCAGCAATATGTTCGTCGAACTGGAGCTGAAAACTGTTCGGGGCTAGGGTCGATGCGACAAACCCCTTGCCCACACCACTGGTGTAGGATGTGAGACTTGGGAAAATGCTTCCTGCAAGGGCTAGCACCTGGCTTGCCCTGACTCTTCCATTTAACAGATTTCAGCATGTATTCATGGAGAACTATAGTTGCTAATTATTCTCAGCAATGAGTCAGCTTCCTAGTGTTGACAGGGCTGACTGGTAACGCGTCAGGCGAGGTGGTTTTAACCACACAATGTGGGGGATCACATGTCTCATTTTCAACTCAGACCCCCAATACTCTCTCTTCTTCGTGATGCTGGTGAAAAAACTTCCTCATATGCTTAATTTTAGGCACTTGAGGACTACATCAGCGCAGACGGTGACTAAGGATGTCAATGGCACCACCCAACTATATATATAAAATGATGGGGTCTAAATTAGCTGTTACCTCTCAGGAAAGAGATCTTGGAGTCATTGTGGATAGTTCTCTGAAAACATCCACTCAATGTGCAGTGGCAGTCAAAAAGGCAAACAATGTTGGGAATCATTAAGAAAGGGATTGATAATAAGACAGAAAATATCATACTGCCTCTATATAAATCCATGGTACCCCTCATCTTGAATACTGCGTGCAGCTGTGATCACCCCATCTCAAAAAAGATGTATTGGAATTGGAAAAGGTTCAGAAAAGGCCAACAAAAATAATAAGGGGTATGGAACAGCTGCCATATGAGGAGAGATTAATACGACTGGGACTTTTCAGCTTGGAAAAGAGATGGCTAAGGGGGGATATGATAAAGGTCTATAAAATCATGACCAGTGTGGAGAAAGTAAATAAGGAAGTGTTATTTACTCATAACACAAGAACTAAGGGTCACCAAATGAAATTAAAAGACAGCAGGTTTAAAACAAAAGGAAGTATTTTTTTCACACAACGCACAATCAACCTGTGGAACTCCTTGTCAGAGGCTGTTGTGAAGGCCAAGACTATCACAGGATTCAAAAAAGAACTAGGTAAGTTCATGGAGGGTAGGTCCATCAATGGCTATTAGCCAGGGTGGGCAGGGATGGTGTCCCTAGTCTCTGTTTGCCAGAAGCTGGGAATGGGCAATGTGGGATGGATCATTTGATGATTACTTGTTCTGTTCATTCCCTCTAGGGCACCTGGCATTAGCCACTGTCGGACAACAGGATACTGGGCTAGATGGCCCTTTGGCTTGACCCACTCTGGCCGTTCTGATATGTGCGTAAAGGCCTGGTTTACACTTAAAAGTTTAAGCATAACGACGTCTGTTCGGAGCATGCAAAAATCTCCTGTAGCTCTGCCAGCAAAAGCCCTAGTTTTGCTGTGGAAAAAAGGCCTTTGGCCGGTTAATAATCCCGGGCTCCTCCAGCTCTTGTCTTCGGTAGATCTCGTAGCACTTCACAAAGAAGATCAGTATCATTAACCCTCATAAATATGAGGAAACTCAGGTGCCAAAATGTGACTTACCCAACAGGCCAGTGAAAGAGCCAGGTATAGATCCCAGCTTTCCTGCATTCCAGTCCGGTGTTCTAGCCACTAAACCAGCCTGCCTCCTTGTTGATTATTTTGTTCAGGGAACTAGTAATAAGTCATACCGGCAAAATAACTTTTGCTAGAATAAGTTGTCTCCACAATGAGGTTTTACTGGACTAGCCATGCTGCCAAACTCTGGCTCGCGTACGTCCACCTGCAGATGAAGGTCTGGTTGCCGTGCAGGCAGGCGTACCCACACTAGCTAGCAACGGATAACAATAGAAGTGCAGGTGCAGCAGCATGGACCCAGCATGGCCCAGCAACTGGAGTACTCAGCCAGGCTCCCGGGCAGGCTTGTACGGGGCAGCTAGCCCTCACTGCAGCCAGCCTGGCCAGACCCTCGTTAGGATCTAAATTGCAGCTCCTGTGGGTTTGCCTGGTCTTGCTGCAGCCACGCCTTCACCTTGTGGTGGTGTTGTACCTGTCATGTAGACAAGACCCTGTCTGAGCCGTATCAGGGCCTCGAAGCTGTCTGCAGTGTCCTGAGTACCTCACTGCTAAAGAGCAGACCACTTTCCAGGCGGAGTCCCTGGAGTTCTGTGGCATTTCTAGGACCGATTTGTGCAGTCTCACATTAAGGATGACCGGAAATAATTATAAGGAGAATAACAAACAGCTGCCACAGTCGGGCACTATCTATATTTCACAGTTGGGGGAGCCGGGGAACAGATCGACTTGCACCCTTGCTTAGACATTTTATAGGACTTTCTACTTGGAGAAATTTGGCCATGGTCTGATTACTGTTCAAAAATAGGCAAATGCAGATGTGAGAGCACACAGTGTGACAGATCATGCCTTTTATTGCTGATCACTGATTGGTTACTCACCACTTCACAGCAGACACCAATCCATGCTCTATAAGAAAGTCCGTGTGTCTTTTTAAAACCTCTGTCATCCAGCATGAAAGTGGAGAGTAGCTTGGTTTTCCACTCTGCGTATGGCCAATATGGAAAAAGATGGATCAGTCTGAGAGGCAGGCTCTGTCTTCCAATATACGTGCACTGTTAGCTGATCCACTCCACTGCTCGTGTGACTTTCAGCTCCTGACACACGCTCCCCGAGTCACGTGATGCATGGCATGGCAGTGGCATGGACACACTGATCCCATTTCTACAGCACAGTGTGTACGTAACCAAGAGCTCGGTTCTGCTTCGGGGCAGTCGGCTTCCTCCAGAAACTGGTCAGTTGTTCGGAAGCTTGTCTGGATAGACGTGACGGTTTGTTTAAGGAGCCACAGTCCAATATTTGCTGGCTACTATATTTTGTACAGGAAATGCCCCAACTCTTCCAGACAGCAGATGCCCTGGTATCACTTTCCCGGGCACGGGAAGCAAGTTTCAAAACCCATTGAAGTGGATGGGAGTCTTTCCATTGCTTTCAGTGGATGTGGGCCTAGATCTTTCCCTGGGCCACGCTGCTAAGGCTGAAACCATGTGTAAACATATGGGCTGCCTAGAATTCTGCTTCTCACTTTGACCGTGGGGCCAGACAGTTGGACTTCATTTGAACACCAGCGGAGCTTCCACTTGAGACCACTTTCTTTTCCATATAACTGACTTGCTCAAGGATGCATAGCCACACATTTGATAGAGGGCCCTCGCTTTCTAAAGTGAGACTGTAATCTTGGCTCTATTTTGTCCCTGGCACACAGTGGGAGAGGCGCAAATTGAGAAGGGAAGCTAGATATTTGGTAACTTTCAAAGTTCTGGGTCCATTTTCCTGTTCCGCTCATTCAAATCAACAGTATTAAGAGATGTTGGAAATTGAAGATGCTTTTTGCACTAGAGAGAAATCTTGTACAGCAAAGGGGGGGTGGGGGGATGTTTTTTCCCCTAGGGGGAAAACAACGGGAGATTGTCTGTGCTCAGTAGAACTGTCAGGGAGGTCCGGTTCCCCCACAGTACAATAGTCCCCTGATTTGTCTGACTTTAGCTTGGTCCAGGGACCAGGTAACAATATGCTTAGGTCCCATCTGCACTGCAATCTAGCTATGCTATTCCCTTAAGTAGTTGTATTTGTAGTATCTGCAGGACATGACTAGAAACTCTTTGCACAACACAATTGTTCACAGTACCGTGGCTCTGACCAGCAGGGGTAAGGAGTCTTCCCCCTTGAGAATGATATTGTAAAACCCCAGCTATAGACTTTCTAACGGTAGTTCCTAACCCTACCCCCTTTTGGTGGGAACTTGGCCTGCTTCCCTCGCCCCTGTGACCTTTCAGCCCTTTGAATAAGATGGGATGCGTTCAGTACAAAAGCCTAGGCGGGGGGGAGCGCCTGCCTGTTGAGTTCAGTCTCTCCCTTTGCTCTGCCCTCTATTGAAATGCTGTGGTTCCTCTCCCATAAATGACCTTTCCCTGCACACCGCCCTTGGGCACCGGCTGTCATGAAACTGAACATGCCGCTCTTAGGGCTTTGCAAGCTGCTGGTCGTGCTGGCCCTGGGGGGTATGCAGTTGCCACTGGCCCCCACCCGGGCTGCTGGAGAGGAGTGTGAGCCCCTCGTGGCAAAGGAGGGAGACCTGTACGCGCTGGGGCTGTTCAGAATCTGCGACACCGAGTTGGACAATTTTGAGTAAGACGCCGTGGAGTCTCTAACCTAGCCCTGTCTTTGCTGGGGATGTGCAGTGGGGTAGTGGGAAGTAAGCAAGATGAGGACAATAAGCCAGGTAGCTGGGCTAAGGCAGATGGGCCAGCTGGGGGTTTACAGTCAGGGGAAGGTGCATGGCTGGGTTTTGGGGGATCCCTGCTTAGGGATAACTCTGATTGTCCAACTGCTCTGGGGAAAGACAATTCAGCAGGGGATGAAAAGTCAAGTGCCCAGTTCTGTGATTTCTCTCCTCCTCTCAATGAACTCTGCTGGTGACTTTTAACCCTTGACTATTTAAGCGATGGCCACCAGGGAGTGGCCCAACCCATCTGGTTTGCCACCTTTAGGTGCCCTGGAGCTGCAGGTCCAAATCCCATTGGGGGACAACCTGGCTCTTTGTTCTGCTGAAGCAGACATGCTGAGTATTTCAGATGAGACCTTACAAACCCAAATCCTGCCTAGTCTGCGTGGATAGCAATGAACCTGTGAAGTTTTTCCATATACATAGGAGTTCCCCAGCTGTCCTTGGCCAAAATTGCCACCTGCCCATCCTGTTACCTAATGTGATATGTACCAGCTGGCTGCTGCTTTATCGCTTTCCACCCCAGAAGTAGCTGCATTTCCATGGTGTATGATGACATTCCCTTGTGTGTATAGGCTCCATTTACATGAAAGTTGCATCTAAAATATAATTATTACTCTCCTGTTTGCCTGTCTCTGGTGGCCTTATTGGAGGCATCATGCTGGCTGGTTTTGACATGTTGGTTTAGCTATTAACAGTCATACAGGTCAAGGCGTCCCAGAGACATGTGCCCTGTAGCATCTCTCGTACTGTGTGTTAAATTTCCTTGCAGGGGAAGATTGGTACAGAATCAGGGTTCCCCTCTAAGCAAGTTACTTGCTAGATGCTAAGACCCAGTGACACCAGCCCTGTGAAAGAAAAAGAAAAGTTTCTTAAGGAGAGATCAGTAGGAGTCCTGTATTAGGAAGCCTGTATTTACCAGTGGAAATCACGCCCCATGAGATCTGCCAGGTCACTTGCAGCATGGATTTTACGCAGCCTTACACAGTGGCCTGTTTTGCTTTGATTCCCAGTCTCCAGCTGTACGTCCTTGCCCAGGCATTCAGGTTTGTCGTGCAGCATGCCAGCCCAGATGGCGCTGGCTCCTTGGGGTATAAACTGGTTACGTACTGCGAGCAGCCCCCAGGCTGCCCTGAGAAGATCCTCGACGAAATGGACAGGGCTCACAGGGAAGGAGCACAAACCATTGTGACTATCTTCTACGCAGGCACGGAGCCAACACGCTCGCTCTTTGTTAACGTGCTGCAGGTGAGTGGTGGCCTCTGCCAATTAACGGCAGGTAGAGGAAAGAAAGCATACCAAGCAGATACTGGGAGGGATGATACCCTCCTTCTCCCCCCTGCCCCTACTGCAGTCCCTTCCACCCACTGCTGCTTCTCTCTTGCACAGTGTTAATTCTGATTTTACTGTAATTAGTTTAAGAGCGCCAATAAAGTTCTCAAGTTCTAATGTTCAGCCACTAAACACCAGAGGTTAATTACAGAGCACATGCCAGCTCTATTACTTACAACCTGAGAGCAGGGAACGGTGGTCTGCCCTAGCTTTCCTCTCCTGTGGGATAAAATGAATGCCCTGTCTCCAGGCTCTGTGGAGTTTATACTGCATCTCTAATACTGCTATTAAGAGCTTCCCAGTGCCCCTGTGTCAGGGGGTCCTGAGTATTAATAATGAAAGTGACTCTAGTTGGCTTTGTCTTTAAAAACCTTGTCAGATTTATGGCTGTTGGATCAGCCCTGCTCCTCTCTGTCACAATCTCTCTATCCATTAATCACCATAACTTCACAACAATCAAGTCCCATCACCATAACTTTTGCCACTCTGCCGAGAACAAGGGAGGTCCATGATCAACCAGTTAATGATTTCTGTAGTCCCACCCTTTTAAGCCAGAGAGACTTTTACTCTCGCTGAGAGACTTTGTCTGCAAGACGGTACCCAGCATGCTCTGACAGCCCTCTGCTTCTCCAGGGCAGCACTGGTAAATTTAAGAGGAAAAAGTGGGAAGTTTGATGGTGGCAGTGCTTAATTTGTGCCAGGACTTGGCAGTTCATAGCCCCGGCACTTCTAGGCTTGGCAGTTCATAGCCCCGGCACCTGTGGGCTTGGCATATGAAAGTTAAAAAAAAAATTTTTCTTGAGCCCCAGCACCTCTTCCATTACAAATTAAGCACTGGATGGCAGCGTGGAAAGACCGGGTCTGTTCACGTCTGCAGTGTGCTGTGCAATGCAGAGCCATGGATCATACCCCACGGTTAGGCTCCTTCAGTGTATGGTGGGTTATGTAGCCACAGCCTCCTCTCGCTCTCCCCTCTTGCCAGACACGGTGCCTCCAGTTTGAGAAGCGGAAGCGTTGCTGTAATTCAGTGTCCGACTGATGCAAGGCTTTTTTTATTTTAAGGTGGAAATTAACCTTTCCCAGATTCGAATCCACCACTCCATGCTAAAGATGAATTTCAGAGGCGCCTTGCCAAGCATCCTGGGACTGCTGAAAGCTTTCCAGTGGAACCTGGTTGGCTTCATTCATCGGTATGAGTTAGAGTTCAGGGATGTCATTGCTGGCCTTGAACAAAGCGACCGAGGGGAGATATGCATCGAATTTACAGAGCAGAGCATCTTTGATGGTCGGAAACTGATAGATAAGATTTCCTCCTCAAAATCAAATGTCACACTGGTGATGGACGAATCTGCTCTGTATTACATGTCAAGGGCAGGGCAAGAGGAAAACCGTACCATGGAGAAACACATCATTCACTGCTGCTATGGGGTCACTTTTGGACTTGCTGGGTTAGAGTATAAAGTTTTCCGGGGAGTGTGGTCTCTGCACCAGAGGCCTCGCCTGGTTCCTGGGTTTCTTGACTATTTGCTGGACACGAATACACACCGATCTGCAAATGCAACCGTCGGGTATCTGTTCCGCAAGGTGTGTCACCAGTGCACAGCCAACCCCAGCTCAGAGCACCCCTGCAGGAACTTCAATAACCCTGTGCCAGTCAACACCAGTGCTGCACGTTTAAGCCACCATGAGCAAGACATTTGTCTTGGAGCTCCAGCTATTAACATGTGCAATTTGTGCCTGGACCGCTTAGCCTATCTGGATGTCATCTTCATCATGGATTTGTTCACGCAAAAGCTAGCGAGAGCAATAGAAGAACGATCTCAGAACTGCCCGCCATCCCAGCCACAGAACAGCTCTGACTTCAATGGAGAACAGGTACCATTTCACACTGCAAAACAACCTTTAACAATTGGTTTCTTAGCCATGCCATGGAACAGCCAACTGAGAGCGCCGATTCTGAGCCCCATGGCAGCGTCTGTGCTAAACGGCAGATGCTGCTGCTTGTTATAAATCTAACCCAGTAAAACTAATTGGGTCAGATTTGCGAATGTGGCAAACAAGAATGTCCAGCGAATTGGGCCGCTGTGACTGTATTTCAACCAAAGAAGTCTCAGAGATGCCACTGGAATTAAATGGCCACGCCCATGCTTCAAGATCATTGATTCTTTACATCCCCTAATACTAGCGGGAGCAGCAAACCAGCAGGTTTCCCTCTGTTTGCAGTAGCATCTTTGGTTCACACAGATGTGTCTTCTGGCTCTGTTTGGTTTGCGCACCTGGTGTCCAAGCTGCTCTCGTTTCTGTCTCTCTTTCAGTTGGAGCAGTTTCTCATCGATCACTATTCCCCCCTCCTGCCCATCAATCCAAACCCCTTTGAGGTCTTCTACTGGAACGTCACTGATGACGGAGAAGTGAAGCTCCCCCAGCTGGACGTAGACGTGCAGAGAGCGGCCTCCGACAGCTACGACCCTGTGGCGAGGACTGTGGGCCTGAGGGGCGGAGGAGCCATCAGGGTGAGTGAAGCCATTCTCACACCTGTGACAATAAAGGCCACTGCTTGAGCCTTTCGTAGAAGGATTTCAGTGTTCCTCACGAAGAGAGGGTCAGGGTCCTCACCCACCTTTCACAGACAGGGAAACTTACAGCCCAGAGAGTTTCAAGTGACTTCACCAAAGTGTCAGGGCCTGCGATGGAACCCGTCCATCCTGACTCCACATCCCAGCCCCTCGCCGCTGCCTCCCACTCTCCCAGCTCCCTCCACGCAGAGAGCAAACATGGGAGGTAGGAGACCTGCGCTGGATCCAGAGACTGGAACTGGGCCTTCTCCTGGGAGGTCCCACTCAGACAGGGGGAGTGAGGGGAAGGAGGAAACTTGTAGGAGCCAGGCAGGCAAGTGTGGGAAATTGTCTGACTCAGCTGGGCAGCATCAAGTGGCTGGGTATATAGCCCTGTGAGGGGGCCTGGGGCAGGAAGAGGGTGGATCCAGGAGACAAGGCTGGGTCCAGAGCAGGAGCTGGACTGGGGCAGGGCAGGGAACAAGCATACACACATTCTCAGCTGGGGGCAAATGCTTTGAGCAGCTGCCAAACTGCTGCTGAGCTTAAGAGCCAGTCTGCTGCCTCTTCTTACCAATCAGGCTGCGCTCATCTGGCTTCCTGGAGACTGGCTCTGCCGCACACCCTGATTCCTGACGCCGACCCGTCTCTGGCAGTTGCTCCCACCTCTCCCTTGGACGCGCTAAGGGGTAACTGTTCCCTAGAGGGCTGGTGGGTTTGGATGTACAGTTCCTGATACTGTCAATGAAAATCCTTCTGCATCAAGACGGCAATAGGCCTCTCTGTTTCCCAGTAGCCTTTGCCCACAACCCTGTCTGTGTTTGAATTGCAGATCCTGCCCTCTCATTGTTCCCGAGGCTGTGGCCAAGGGGAAGTGCAAAAGCTACACCCGGATTTGCCTCAACACTGCTGTTATGCATGTGAGGTTTGCAGCCCTGGAACATACAGCAACGGATCAGGTGAGTCTATCTTGCTGGCCCAGTGGGCACCCACCTGAGTTGAGGAGCAACCTAGAGCCCTGCCAGAGGCCGAGAAGCTGGCTAGCTTGTGAAAGGGCTGGGTAATTCTACAGCCATTCTAAACACTGGCAGGTGCAGATGATCAGATCTCATGCTCCAGGATACAAGTTGCTCCTTTCCGGGGGTCTGGAAGGCCGCTTTTCACTCACTGCACTGCACAATTGTCTTGGTGCAACTGAGGCGAATGGGAGTGGCTGGGGACTCAGCAGTTTTCAGTAGCTCAGATAGGGTGACCAGATGTCCCAATTTGATAGGGACAGTCCTGATATTTGGGGCTTTTTCTTTTATAGGCTCCTATTACTCCCCACCCCCGTCCCCATTTTTCACACTTGCTGTCTGGTCAGCCTAAGCTCAGGCCACTGATTTAGATGCTTCAGTATGGACTTAAAGAGCCTCCTAGTTTTAAAAGTCTCGGAGCCTTTGTTCTAGAGCTACCCCACTGGTTTGCAGAGAGAATTTCTTCTGGCTGGAACGATGATGGGACATAGGACTCCCAGGGAGCGAGCATAAGTGGCAGTGATTGTAATAAAGAACTGGAAGAGTCCTCTACGTAGTGCATGGAAAACATGCCTCCTCAACAGCTTGTCGTTTTGCATTCCAGCCTTGGAGAGCTGCTGGTCTTGTCCCCAGGATGAGTGGTCTCACGGGGGCCAGGCCTCCTGCTGGAAGAAGGCCGTGGTGTACCTGTTCTGGTCCGAGCCCACCAGCGTCGTGCTGATCATGCTAACGCTAGTGGGGATGGCCCTCACTGTTTCTGTCACGGCGTTGTATGTGAAGCACATAGACACCCCTATTGGCAAAGCTGCCGGGGGGCCCATATTTTACTGCCACATGGCCAGCCTGCTGGGCTCCTTTGCCAGCGTGTTCCTCTTCGTTGGGGAGCCAACAGGTTGGAAGTGCAAACTTCGCTGGCCGGCCTTTGGGGTGAGCTTCACGCTCTGCCTCGCCAGCATCCTGGCCAAATGCGTCCGGATTCTGGCTGCCTTCGCCACTCCCGTGGGAAGGCCGACAAAGCTGCAGACAAGCCTTTATCTGATTGTTCTGGGCATCCTCCCCACTCTGCAGTGCATCATCTGCTTTCTGTGGCTCCTCCTTGACTCTCCTGGGGTCAGGCGTTCCTACCCCAGGAAGGCAGACTACCTGGTCATCGAGTGCTTCAATGAAACAGGCATCGGCTTCTCCTTCAGCATGGGGTATCTCTGTGCCCTGGCCTTCTGCTGCCTCACAGCTGCCATCAAAACCCACTCTCTGCCTAAGATTTTCAGTGACTCCCAGGGCATCTCCTTAATGATGGTGACTTTCTTTGCTGTCTGGCTCTCCGTGATGCCAGCTCTGGAGTCGGGAAAGGAGCGAATGGTTGATATGGTGGCCGTTGTATCTATCCTGCTGTCTTCCTACAGCGGCCTGGCCTTTCTGTTTTTCCAGAGATGCTACGTTATGTTGTTCAGACCCCATCGCAATACTACAGAGTGGATCAAGAAAACCACATACGCGTACTGCCAAAAGGTTGCTAGCAAAGCCAATCTGATCATCCAACTGGACCGCAGCACCACCACCACGGACATGTCCGCCTAAGGGGTGGTGGTGGAATGAACGTGGGGATGCTGGGTGTTAATTGCTCAAATTGTTTGTAATTCTGCTTGCTTTTGCTGTGTAAAGGCCCCTGCAGGGCTGGGTTCAGGCAAAGCCTGGTCCAAACCAAATAAATCCATCAAGCCCCAAAGCAAGGGAAGGGGGGAGAGGAAAATGGGCTTACAAATTTTGGAGGCCCCTATAGAAAATTTTGGAGCCAACCCCTTCAGAGCTTGTCCCTCAGGCCAGCCTCTTACTTGCTCTTGCCTTAATCTACCCTTGCTGTTTGGGCTCAGACTGGAGCCCCGGGCTCTGTGACTGGCTGATGCAGGTTTCTTCTGTGTGTGACTTTGGGCAAGTCACTTCGTCTCTCCGTGCCTCAGTTTCCCATCTGTATTTCCTTTCTCTCACCGTTTGTCTGTCTTACCTGGTTAGACTGTCAGCGTGCTGAGGCAGGGATTTGTTGGCTCTTGCAGGGTACAGCACCTAGCGCAGTGGGGGTCCTACCTGGATTGGAGACTGTGGATGGTGTTGCAAATAATAACAAATCCACCAATGTTCAGGGCTGTTTGCATCCATGGGGTTGATTCAGTGCCATGGCTACTGAATATAGTTGAAAGTTTGGGGGTGGGCTGTGTCACGGATCCACAGGATCTGTGCTACCCACCCCCCTCTAGCTTGTAAACAGCCTCTTGGAGGAACCCCTGCCATGTGTAGACCCCCAAGGAGTCCCAGTCTAATTTCGGGGTAGGCCCCGCAGCCTCACCCCCTCCTAGGTTGAGCTCTTGAGCTCTAACACTCCAGCTTCACACCCTGAGCACTGCCCAGTGTGTCCAACTGGAATAGACTCCTGGCAGAGACTTGCCCATTATTCAGGGACTAATGCACCCCAGCCAGTGTTTGTAGTGCCCCCAGACACCCTTTTCAAAAGAGGAGGGTTTATTAGTCAAGTGGAACACAGCACGGGAAGTCTTTAGGTTAGCAGAGAAATAAAAGCCAGCACAAGTCACCAGCCAAGCTGTAGCGAACTCTAGTTCCGGCTGTCTCTCTCTGACCTCCTTAGTGAGTCCCAGGAAAGATCTGCTTCCTCCGGAAACCCACCCTTTATCCTCTGCTGGTCACATCTCACTCCTTCGTTCCTGAGCTGCGGTCTTTGCTCAGCTTCCCTGCTGGGGGTTGCGGGGAGAACCTCCTTCCTGGTTGTTTCTTAGGTGTCAATGTTTGGTCATTGGGGCTTTTCCATTGTCTCGCTGGGATTCTGCATTGATATGGGTTGCTTTCAGCAGGTTCCTTAACCACCCTGCTCGCTGCGGCCCAGATAGCCAGACAACATCCCCACCTCGTGACCTGTGCTGCCGCCAAGAGCAGACTTAACACTTTTAAGAAATCAAAGTGCAGCGGGAAACTGAGGCACATACAGGCCTCTTAAACATATTCCAGAAACTTCCCACTTTGTCACAGGGAGGCGTTTGTTGAGAACTGGTAGTGTAGTGCAGTGATTCTCAACCTGTCCAGACTCCTGTACCCCTTTCAGGAGTCTGATTTGTCTTGTGTGCCCCCAAGTTTCACCTCACTTAAAAATTACTTGTTTACAAAATTAGCCACAAAAATACAAAAGTGACAGCCACACTAGTACTGAAAAATAGCTGATTTTCTCGTTTTGTCTGTATGAAATTTTAGTTTGTACTCATTTTGCTCGTGCTTTTCATGTAGCCAGTTGTAAAACTAGGCAAATATCTAGATAAGTTGATGTGCCCCCTGGAAGATCTTTGTGTACTCCTAGGGGTACACATACCCCTGATTGAGAACCACTGGGGTTGGGGTCACAATTCACTGTTTGATTAAGTCCCTGCTGTACAATCCAGTGCAAGCTGCCAGCTGATCACTAAATTCACTCGCGGGTTAAAACGCAACCTTCATAGGACCAGCTCCTTTAAATCATAGTGATTTGCCACACGTTAGCCCTTTATGGTCTGACCTGCAGTGGGGCAGTCTCATGGGCATAGACACTTATTTGGCCTTTTGCTTATGAGAAAATGTGTTGTACAAAGGCAGGGAGCTTAAAGGGGGAAGCAACGGTGGAAACCAGGCTGCGAGATGCAGTGGAAAGTTCACTCAGTGGCGGAAGAGAAGAGCTCTCCGCAGATGCAGTCTAGTGTGTTTTGGGTTGCCCCGACAAGAAAACATAGATTTCTGTGGCTGGGGATTGTACGCATGAGGGTGGGACAGACGGAAAGCTCACTGGATTGCAGAACAATCGCTAGGGGTTTGTTTATATTGACTATAATAGAGCCAGTTCTGAAACGGGGTCTCCATTTTGCTCCTTAACACGTGTCTTTACCTTGCCAAGTGACTGTACCACTGGCATCCTGGCTTCCATATTTATTGTGTCTCAGTGATTCCTTATTAAAAGTGCTCACTTGACAAGGGAAGTGGGTTTTTTCCCGTAAGTGCCAAGGCTTCAAGCTCCTTGCCACATTCTGGGGTGCAGTCCAGACCAGTGAGAGGTGGTGTCAACTCCTGCCCTCTACCCCTGGGTGCCTTAAAATGCTCAGCTGCTGCAGCTCCCTTGCCTGGATGCTCCCATCCACCAAACGAGCCTGCACTGAGTAGCTATGTGATAAGCAACCCTGGACAACAGCTCTGGATCCAGCAGCCTGCTTGTTTCACCACAGCCACACTCTGGTCTCCCCCAGTGCTTCCCAGCCCTGAATTTCCCCCCAAGCCATGTGCTCTGCAATGTCCAGCCCCTCCTGGATTGTTCAGAGGAACGATAAGGTTCGTTAGCTCCTCTAAAGAGAGCAGCTGCTCAGCTTAGCACTTTAACTGGGGTTAAATGTTCAAACACAGCACCGGGTCGGTTTATATTAAAAGTAAAACAAGTTTATTAGCACAAGGAGAGAGGGTTTTAAGTGAGTTCAGGTATGAAGGATAGAGCTAGAAATGGTTACAAGCAAATCAAAGTGCAAAACTTTTCTAAAGACCAAAGCTTTACAAAACCACAGTCTTAGTTCAAGGGCAGATTCTTATTGCATGCCTTCCAGCAAGATGGCGAACCACCTCCTTGGACGGGACCTCCCACCATGTCCAAAGTGCTCAGTTCCTTTGTTCTAGGTGAACAGTACCTTGGGGTTCTTTGCCTCTCTCTTTTATAGTCCAATGAACCTTTGAAATTGATTCTGTGACACTACACCCCATATTCTTTATAGAAATATTGTTATAATATGATTATAGCATACTTATATGCAAAAGAAGTCATGTGAGATATCATTGGAAAGGTTATGATTTGCTGAATATGTTTATCCTATTTGTATGCATGTATCATTTTTGTATCTAAAGGTAGGACTATTGACTATACAGCTGTACTACAAA